AGTAAAATTTTCTATTAACTTTACCACTGCCACATATAAAAGATCAATAGCCTTTTACTGTTTTTTGTTTTTTGTTTTTTTTGTTCCAAACCAAATTCTCCGTTCCTGGGGTCAAGTTCTTGCTAATCTTAACTCCCTACGCCGGAACTTCGACGAATAAACGTATCCTGTGAATATGCACTACATCGAACAGTCTCTGAATCATCGGGTTAGCTACACATCCCTATAGATCGCCCACTCTTTAAAACTTCGGAAGGGCCAAATTTTTGGTCACCTTCAGAACCGGTGCTACAATACCAGATTCTACCCTCTCTGCGTAGTGATTTCGTCGTGTACTTTTCTCGGTACGGTAAAATGTTGCTTACTCGTGTAAACATGTGGTGGTTTCACCTTATTCTCTAGAGAAGTTGCAAAAGCCTAAATCCTTAATTCGGCATACTTAGAGCCTACAAGACCATCAAGCCCGATAAAAGTATCCCCTGTAGACATAATCTTCCGTAATTCCGAAAACCATATACAGGGTGAGGCTGGCGAATCTCTTGGGCGTGACCTCGCTCCAATCGGCTGCTCTATCCTTTCACGGATGCTGCACGCTTGGTTTGCAGTGTTGCGCAGCTTGTGCGGCTCGCATGGTGACGTCCTGTATGAGATAAGGCGCGGCCTGGATAAAGGTTTCGGGGTACATACGTCACTGGTATCACTTGTATGGAAAGTGGTTGATCGGTGGCGGCGTAATTGTTCTGTCCATGACCTTAAGGGTGATAGATTTATTAGGAGCTCACCTGGTTAGGAGACGACGCCAAAAGCAGGACGTGGATGGTGGTGCACGTGCCAAAGCCGGTATCGTATAACAATTGCACGTGCGAATCGTCTGACGCCATCGCAACACATTGACGATGACGCACCTCGATCAGGCAATCACTCTTAAGGTTTATTCAACTAATTTATTTCTCTACATATCAGTAAACTTCGATAGGTCGTATAAATATCCCCAGTCGTCCCCCGTATCCTCTTTTTTCGTCAGTCTTGCGCCCACTACCTTTAAACTACCACACTTCCGCTTACATTCATACCGTCCACAACACAAACCGATTAATGTCCGGAATCATCGACCAAATTATCAACAAGATCAGACCACAACCACAGGTCAAGTCACAACCAATTCCTGATTTATCCAAGGTTAAAGTTCACAATGGTGTCTTGGACCATGCATTGACCCCATCCGAACACTCTGCTGCGCCACACTCCAAACCAATGGCAATCCCTGCCAACGGGCCAGCCGAAGCAGACACTAAGGCATCTTCCGTCTCTTCCAGCTTGGCAGCCCTGAAGCCTAACTCTTTCACGGGAAGACGTTCCTCTGTCATCAGCGCTCTCACCGGTGGCGATGCTTTATATTCATTCAACAATAATAATTACGCCTTTGCTTCAGACAGTGCCGTGAGTGACGAAAATGGCCCCTCCGCCCTGAGCCATCAACGGACCGGCAGTGTGGGGTTGAACATCAGAGAAAAGTTGAGAAGGCCTAGCACCGGCGCAATCCAACAGGCCTTGGACTTGACCTAGACAGTGGAAGGCCACGTAGGGTTTGTGCTCTAACTATGGGGCTCCCGCCTCAAGGACTTTTCCTGGAGAATTGGCTTTTCTTTTTCTGTACGCCAGATTTGGGCTCAGAAGCAGGTGTTCTACCTGGAGATTGGGGTATTATTAATACTATTTTCTTGAAACGCTGGCTGTAGTAAACCGGTCACTTACCGAAGTACTGCCACCCAGCTTGGGCTCCCCACGCCTTATCTCAATTAAATAGTGCTAGATATACGCCACCTTAATGAACTTAAGGCTACTTGTGTTTGTTGAATTCGAGCCCAGGTGGGCTTACACCAGGTAACCCTTGTAGATCTTAGTCTAGGTTTAACAAGCATCAACACACGTGCAATCGCTGAATACAATCTATTAGTAACAGCTTTGTAGTTGGTTTTAGCGCCGTCTGCACAAATGTGAGTGTGCCTTCGAAATGCATGCCCCGACGAGTTTAACCGGTGGAAGTTCACAGCTTTGACCCCACAAAAGATATAAGCTTCGTAAAACTGAGAAATGACTCAAACTCCCGCGGTTATAGAAATAATGTACCAGCATTCAGACATGTCTCATCTACCCTAAGCGTCCAGATCTGGATATTTTACACTTTGAACTTGCAGGAACACGGATATAAACCCTTCGCTCGTGTTTTACGCGCGCTACATCGTACGCTCTAGAATACAATTAAAGGAAATAATACAAAAATATTCACTCGAAATCAGCCGTCTACCAATCATCATCATCACCCTCGTCTTCATCATCGCTATCCATTCTCCCACGTCTCAGCTTGATCGCAGCAGCCAAACCACCCGCCAAGTCTGATGAGTCTTGCTGCTTTGCCAACAACGCTGCGGCCAAACCGCCGGCCAAACCACCTTCGTTCGCCGTCTGGACAGAAGCAACCTGGGCCGCTGGGATCACCCCGACAGATGCTTGTGGGGTCTGAACTGGTGCGGAAGCGGCTTCGACCATGTAGGCGCCTGGCACCCAGCCCTCTTTAGTGCCATCCAACGTCTTGGCCAACCACCAGCCGTTGCCCTCCTGCTTGGTGACATACACCACCTGACCGAGTGTGAGCGGAAGCTCAGAAACAGCACCACTACCCACAAACTCGTATGCCGCTTTGAACGTCGGGTGGGAAGGTTGAGCAGGCGGAGGTGGTGGAGGTGCAGGTGCGGTCTGCTTTCTCATCACTTTTTGTGGCGGAGGCGGGGCCGTTTTCTTTGCACGGGTAGGCTGGGGGTTGTACGCCGCGGTAGCGGCCAGAACCGCTGGGTTGACGGCATTCTGTTGAGCCGCCGGGTTCAGCGTTTGCTGAATCGGATGGGTTTGCTGCTGAACCGGCTGCGGAGGCGGCGCCTTTCTCGACGTTTGTCTCCGTGGGGTCTGAGCCTGGCTGATTGGCTGGCGTTGTACCGGAGGCTGAGCCTGGAACTGCGCTGAACGCTGCTGTCCCGCGTAGCCATTCGAACTGCTACTCGCCACCCCCCGTCTGTACTTGGAATAATCTACCGTGGTGCTGGCATTTCTCGGTCTTCTCTTGGACACACTGCTGCCTGGCTGCCCCTGGGGGACCAGTACTGCCCCGGACTTGTAAATATCGCTGTACTTAGGGGCGGCAGAACTGACGGCAAACTTAACAGTGGTGAACTTGCCCGGTTTTTTCTGGTACATGACGGTCGGGCCAATCTTCACCTGTAAGCCCGAGCACAACTTCAGTAAATGCGTAACCAACTCGGTCTTGAAGTCAAGGTTAATGAACCAGTCTGACGCCAGACTATTGGTGGTACAGATGGCGACCCAGTTGTCCTGGAAGCTCGACATGCCCACCTGGCTGATCAAGTTCACGGGAAACGTCTCCTTGGAGTAGGCCACCTTGCCATCCACCACCTGCTCCGTGATGAGGAACAAGGTGGAGGTAGTGAGGATAACGATGCGCGGCACGCGCATGGATGAACGCCCAAACTTCGATTGCAAAGTCTCTGCGCGCGACGAAAACACCACCTTCTCGTTAATGCCCGTCTGCTTCACAAGGAAGCGCCCGAACCCAGAGTAGTCATTGCAGTTGAGGTAGTCCCCCATGTACGCACGGTAGCCACACAAGGACATGGTACGGCGCTCCTTGCGGCCGCCCAAGAGCTTGGTGCCTTGGTCTCGCAACTGTTCGTATTTGTTGCCGTGCTGTTTCTCGCGCCATGTGCGCTGGATAGTCTTGGCCGCGGCCTCCCTGCGGCGGAGGTAACGGCGCCACGCGCGCTGGATGCGCGCGGCCATGTTATCCCAGTACTTATCACGAAGGTTCTCCAAGAGGAACAAGGTCTCAGGCGATTTGATAAAGATCTTTGAGGTCCCGGTCTGGAATTCGGACGTGGGAATGGACGCGTCTTGGAGGATCTGGATGGTTCCCGTGCGGTGGTCACCTTCCCAGATGTAGTCCCCGGCGTAGGACGTCTTGGGCGAAAGGAGGTAGAAGCGCTCTACAAACTTTTCAAACGTCTGACGGTACGCAAAGCCCGCGCGACGGATGCGCACGTTCTCCTGGAGTCCGAGGTACTTGACCTGGTGAAGCACGGCCTTGGTGTCGAACTCGCTGGGCGACTTGTTTTGGTTGGGCTTGATGGTACGAATGTACGACGGCTGCGCGCGCGACAACGTGTCTACGAGCTCATTCGCGGAGTGTTTGATTCTGTCAGATGCGGTTGGCGGGCGCTTCTTGGCAGTGTCAGCCTCGGGGAAGAGGCTGACCAAGAAGCCGTTCTGCGATGTTTGGAGCATGTCAAGCAAGTCCTTGAGCATCTGATCCTTGTTCTTGTCGGTCATGGTCTTGATGTCGTACATGACGTCGCCTGCGTAGTGGCGCACAAGGAACTTGTTGGAGCGCAACTCAAAATGCGCGTTGGTACCGACCCCGCCCAAGCGCTGCGCAAAGGAACCGTCTGCGGCGGTCGAGTCCGCATGCGCGGTCGCGCAAGCATCGTTCAATGCGGCAAAGATTCCTGGCGGCCGCTTGGATTCGATCAAGTCACACACCACCTGGTTGTTGAAAAATTTGATGGGGGTCCATTGGATCTGCTCACGCACATACTCTTCCTGCTCCGCTTTCAACGTGAGCTGGATAAAAATCTGCTGCAACTTCTCGTTGACGTAGTTGATGCAGAGCTGCTCGAACAGGTTAGTGTCGAAAATCTCGAAGCCGTAGATGTCCAAGATCCCGATGGACTTGTGGATCTGCTGATGTGCTACCGCATTCTGCGCGAATGAGAGGTTGACGCGCTCGACAATCCACTCAAAGAGGTTATTGTAGATCCCCTTGGCCAACGCGTCGCGCACGGCTGTAGCTTGCGTGCGGTTGAGCGGCACGTGGTAAACCGATCCGCGCTTCATCCCGTGGTTTGTCTGTATAATGCGTTCCGTCAACACGTTGCACAACGTTGCGGCATCCACTTGGAGTAAGTACGCGACAAAGTCAGTAACGGAGGTGTCACGGATGGTGGAGTTGCCCTCGTCGTTCTCCCCAAACGCCACGTTCCCGATCCACAAGATGGCTGCGAGGAGGCGAAAGATGTGATCCTGTTCGTCTTGGGCTAATCCGATAATCTGCATCGCGTTCAACGTGTCTGCAAACTCTGCTACGTCATTCATGCCCTCCACGTTGATGCATTTGGCCGCGGACGTGTAGAGATAAGTCTCCGGGCCCTGGATGCCAAGTGTCTGCTTGTACGCAGCGGACGCGCCCTTGGTGAACTGATAAAAGATGTGAAAGTTGCGCTCTTGCGTGATCTGCCCCACTACACGCTGCTTCTCCAAGAGGTAATTGGTGATGTTGGCGGAGATGGGCTCGTACGTCGCATTGAACTGGATCTCGAGGTACTTGCCGTGGCGCGACGAATTGTTGTTGCGCAACGTCTTGGCACACCCGAACGCCTCGAGGAGTGGATTGGTTGCAAGTACCATATCCTTGATGCGCTGAATGGACGAGTCGCCACACGCAGCGCCACGTGCATCATCGCCGCCACTGACCGACGCGATATACTGCATGATGCGCTTCGCAGCCTCCGTCTTCCCCGCCCCAGACTCACCGGAGATGATCACACACTGGTTCTCGCCATACGCCTTCATGTTGTAGTACATGGCCTCCGCGATCGCAAACACGTGCGGCGGCACCTCCAACCGGTTCTTACCACGATACAGCTGGAGCACCTGTTCCGTGTAGATGCCCAAATCCTGGAACGGATTCACCGAGATGAGTACGTGCCCTATGTACGTGTAAATGCTCCGGTTTGCGAACCGCTTCTGCAAGTTGTCGTTGATGGCGTCATCGGAGATGGTGGCGAGGAGTGTGAGGTCCAGCACCCCGACTTCCTTCTTCTTGTGGGTGTCGAACTCGGCCTTCTGGATCCCGTTTCGTTTTGGTGGCGGCGCCTTGCCGTCTTTGTTGCGTCCTGCTCGTTTTGTGATAGCCATTGGAGGGTTGTCGAGAAGCTACGAAGAAGAATGAAAATGGATGAGAGACGGATTTTGATAAGCAAATAGCCGCCGGAGCAAAGCCAAGCAAAGCGGCGGAGTCGGTGGTAAGGGCACGCCCGACTGGGATGGCCTGCGAGGGGACTCGGAGTAGGCGCAATATCGGACAAGATTTATCATATAATTATATTCTTATGTTTTTATTCGTGTGATTTACTGAGTTTAACGGTATTAAGAGCTCGTGGGTGTTGATACTACTGATTTCCGGATGGAAAGCCTATCTGAGACGACGCTAGGAAGGTGTAGCGACTGCAGTCACAACGGCATAACTAATGAGGTTATGCTTAGGTAAATAATAGCTCAGAATAGATCCCCTTCAGTGGTACAGCTACATGTCCGTATTAGCAGTATGCCTTTGTGATGTGCATGTATTGAGAATATTTCATACCTATTGGCGGAACATGTTGGCTATGTAGCTCACCACGGGGGCATTGCTAGACACATGCGCGATTTCCATGAGATGCAGATGTGACAAATACGAGATTCAATTCTAGGGGCCGTAATCGAGGACTAATTATTAGTGTGTGAGATTTTCGTATTTGGGGTCTTCGAATCGTATTGAGTGTATTCAGTCGTAGGGACGGCTTTGCCGTGATAATGTAAGTACTAAAATTGTTGGAGTATTACTTTAAAGTTGTAGCTCTCTTCACCGGTACTCCTGGAATAGTCTTTTACCAACTACCCGCAAGTGTATATTTAAGGCTTACCCAGAACTGGTGATAATACAGGACCATCAATGGATGGCTTAAGCGTGGCCATTAAGCCTGACTACATTAGAGAATAATACTTCAAAAGTTAAATAGTCAGAATATAAGTGAGTGTCTTCATAGAATACTGTACATGCTATTGAAGCGGGTACAAAAGAGTGGCAAAAAGCACGATAGAATCAACCTAGTCATCTCTCTGAGCACCCGTCACACGCTCCATATCCAAACCCTCAAGCATGCTGATATCGACCGGGCCGGGGTTACCTCCAAAGTCCTTCGGATTGTCGAACCCGTCCTTAACTGGTTGCCCGACGTAGTCGCTCAATTTGGCGGTTGAATCACTGCCCTCGGTCGGCTTGGAAGAATTTCTGGTGGGGATAGGGCCATTATCAGATGGGGCAGAACTGTCTGTGGGGATGGCGCTCTCCTTCGCACTTCGGAAGATATTCTTGATATTGTTGATGGTGCTAGGCATTGTGGTTTATAAAGGTATTATGGTTCCACTTGTGCCGAATAGTGTGAATTGCTCTCCGGAATATAGCAGTTTATATAGCTGAAACCTAGAAATCCACTGCAATTTTTGATTGCTGTTGCTATGCATGATGTGTAAGATCAATGATCTGAGATCATCGCGCAGGTGCCTGGTTATAAGAATCGGGAAACCGCCGGATAATTGACATGATATTTAGCGTATGGGATCTTCCGCGAGATCTGCGGTTGTACAAAATAATCAAATGGATAGCTTCTGCCTTAAATCATCGTATATGATTTAGAAGAGAAAGGTTGGATTCAATTCTGTGACCAGCGTCGCAGTAATATTTTGTAATTTTTCATTTGACAGTCTCTTAATCTTTGTATTGTAGATGTAAGTTTTGGACTGGAAACTGTGATTAGGCTAGAGAAGCTACCACGCCAACTCCGCCGGTAGTCTCGGTGAAGCCACATGTATGGATAGATCCATAGAAGATTGTGTTCATAAATACCAAACTTTTGTTTATATAATAATTTAGATATATAACTCGTGGATGATCCAACACGCTTTCCACCTTTCTGTAACCGCATGCCTCCAAAAGCATACAGCTCTTTCAAGCACGTGATGATAAGACTGTTGAAATAAGAATGACGGCTCAAAAAAGAAACGACTGAAAAATAAAATTCGTACATCTCGTTTCAAGGTTGAAAACGTATTAAGGCATAATCCTTTATTTCTTCGTCATAAGCTAGTGTCTTTTGCATTACTACAAAATGTCCGAGACTATCTACGACCAAGTTGAGATTGAAGACTTCACCTTTGATCCTGTCACCCAGCTCTTCCATTACCCGTGTCCGTGTGGCGACAAGTTTGCCATCGGGATCGATGACTTGAAGTACGGTGATGATATCGCCGTGTGTCCATCTTGTTCGTTGATGGTGAAGGTTATCTTCGACCAAGAAGACTTGCAGGAGTACTATGACCAGATTGAGCAGTACTAAGCAAGACTCTTCACCAATACAGTACCTTTTGAATTTGCAGTTTGTCACATCCGGGCACGTCTAGGATGTCAGTCCAAGACGTCAATCCAAAATATCAACCCAAGGTGACAGTCCAGGATTTCAAACCAAGATTTCAATCTCCCGGACCTCTCAGTGTTTGAAAAAACCGAAATTTTTCTACGGAGCTTAGGTCAGTTTCCTACACCATAAGGTGGAGGCACTCGTGAGACATTGCCGAGCGTGTTACCGGCACCCAGTACCTGTCTCACATCTAAGCTACCACTCCACCCTTTTGCTTTCGCTTTTATAGATTGTACATATGTAATATCCTTGTTTATTATTAGTGATGACTGCTCAGAGGCAGCGGTGTATGAGGTATATGCAGGATAACGGCGTTTCTCGGAGTCCGTCGCTGAAACCATACGTCACGAAGGATTATTAATTATAACCGCACCATTGGCTGGTATTTACAATGTTTCATTAGTCCGTGTTAATAAAGGATTTCTAGGTGGGGGATATTGGAGTCGTTCAGGATTGTGGATGCCCGAGGATAATGCAGCGTCAACTTGATTAAGAAACACCGGAGCTATCTCTCCAATCCCCAGATCAACGTAACTTGGGATCAAAGTTTCTAGTGGGCTCAGGACTATGTAGGTGGATATCTACCCTCAATAGATCATACACTTCGCTACCCATAACCATACGGATTCGGGCTTGCTACATGGAATTTTTTTTTTTCGAAGTCGTTACCCATGCTAAAGCACTTGGATGATGGAAAGAGTTTGCCCGGGCAGACTCGGACACTACCAGCTCGGCGTATCCGCCTCACGGGCTTTCGCGGAACAAACTCATTCACACATCGCGGTAAAAAAATCGCGTAATTACGACTTCGCGTAATACAATCCCGATCGAAGCCGGAATGAAAAATCTCATGGGTCTTTTTCGAGTCCTTGCATCTTCACTCCATCTCCAACTTGACCCCTCGGAGCTTTATCTGATCACAAGACCCAGAGCCGGTGCTGTTCGATACTATTTACTTATTCCCCACCAACCCGCCCTTTTTTTCTCCACTGTTCTATACTACCTTCTCCCAGAAGAATACCCCCCCGCCAAACCCTTCTTTATGCACTGCAAATCGAAGCATAATAAACACTCCTAGATTCATATGCCCCATTACAAAATCATTTCATATCGCTGATCCGGTTTTCCTGTTAGAGCTTTCCGACAAAGGATACAATGTCTGGAACCACCACATCTACGGCGGCTAGGCCCGCTTCCATTGCCTCGCCGCCGCTACCCACATCTCAGCTGACATACACCATTCTTGCGAAGCAGACGTTCCCACAAAGCACTTCCCCTCGACTGTCCTTCTCCTCAAATCGCTCCCCTACAATAACTACTACCTCCTCGGGGGCTCCTATCCTTCCATACCAATCGCAGCCGTTAAAGAAAACCATATCGACCCAAGCGGAAAACGGGTCTTTGCACAGCGGAAGCGGCCGCAGTATCGCCAGTGCGATTGTCGTGTCTGATGGTGTCTCCACTGGTCCTGTCCTAACTGGTGCTTGCAGTCCAGGCTACTCTAAGAAAGTCGCGTATAACTATCCAGTAACTTCACAGCCGTTACACTCAATGGCAAAAGCCATGGAGAGACCCATAACCAATTCGGCTCCTACCCAATCGAGTAACCCCACTCAAACCTCTGAAAAGCATACCATTCAGTCATCTAAAAGTCCAGTTTCAACTTATAAACCGTTGCAGCCCTTTTCTCAAAGTCAGAAGCTCCACGGGTTATCGCAAACCCCGTTTGCCACCCCTCAAATCTCCCCAAACCCGGTGTCGATCCTGAACAAAGTTTCTAACGTCGCCATTCGCCCCAACCCTAAGGCTGGAAGTAAGAAGACGAATCCAAAGAAGGCCCAAGCTCCCGTTCAGCCTGCAACCCCCACGGATCAGGAACTCAAACAGACGCTACTCGTGAAAATCAAAGAGAACGAGAACCTCAAAAAGCTCATCGATAACATGAAGGTGGAAATCACCAAGTTGAAAACCGTCCAACGGGTACAATACTCAAAATACCCCGTAAACGCCGATACCACCGCACTTGCAGTAGGGGTCGACCCCGGAAGCATCAAAATGGGACGCGCCCAAAGCATATCCAACCATCTCCCTGACCACCAGTACCCTCATCTCCATTCGAATCCCGCCCGCTCCCCTGCCAGCTTCTCGGAAGATGGTTCAGATGAGGACGGCTCGGAAGAGGATCTAGCAGCGGGGTACCGCAGTCTTATCGGCGAACGAGACCTCCTGCCATCTCCAGTTGTCAGTTCTATGGATACTCACGTTTTGCCTCCTTCCTCGTGGCTCGATGCGGAGTCCTACGGCGACTCCAGTTTTGAGGTTGACTATAGTGTCGACGACTTGCGTTTGAAGAGGTCCAAGACCAGTAGCAGCGCCAGTAGCTTAATGACGGTCACTGGTCTCATGCGCAAGAGTCTTGTAAGCACCCAGGAGTCGACTCTGTCAGGAAAGACCTTCAAGCGGTTTTCGATGAAACGAACAGGGACGGAGCCGCTCTACGTGAGTGAGCGCAAAATCTTTGAGCAGTGTGGCTTCTGTGATGTGGACTCTCCTTGTCTTTGCTTAGAAGCAGAGTTGGAAATGGAGGACTTGCTATCTGGTGGTCAGGGTGGGAAACTTCTCGGTGTCACGATCCGAAAATGTGAGAGACTGGATCTGTGGGACAGTGCCAGAGTCAAAATCGAACTGAGTGGCTTTTCTCCAGGAGCTGATTTTGATAGTGATGTTACGATGGAATGACCCGAAGACTGTTTCGCTTTTGATTATATCATTTGTGTCCCTACTAAGATTTTTTTTTTTCAGTATTATCCAACTCCCCTTTCCCGACCTCCATACGTTTTTCCAATTCTTTTCACTTTTCCAACCTTTCTTCACGCTTTTTTTTTTCTCTTTGGATTTACGACTTCCTTTCTCTCTATCAGGGAAACCTTTTCATGACCTCTTTCTTTCCCACGCCTAATGACTTTTCTCTTCCTTGTTATACGTTTCGACGGTTCTCTGTACATAGACCTCAATACCACTTTGTTAAGTATGCATGTAGATTTGTCTATATCCTTTTAGACTCCAATATGCCTCCATTTGTGCGTGGAGGTACGACTGTGTTGAGCTGTATACGAATTAAGAAATATCATAAACAGAACCGTATCTTAATTCAAAGATATTCAGTTCTTGGCTAATATAGGTCATATTTCCGCCACTTTTTGTTTCTCATAGAAGCAGACACTGAGAACTACAAGTGTAGCAGATATCAGTTAGGCAACAATCTCGATTTAGAGCAGAATCCTACAAGGCTACTTTATACGCAGAAGTCTCCCTTTCAGGACTATAGATTTAATTTTTGCTCTTTAATCTCCCTTCAACCTCTTGTGGCTGAGTTATCTACAGCCCATCCGTTGCATCTTTCTAACTCCATCCGACTATATTAATATCTAGTCTAAACCAGACCTCCTTGTATTAAAGCGCTATTTAATACATGTCGTCGGTTGATATTCTCCGATCGTGACATTTCGGAATCCTATCTCCTTCAAAACGACCCCACGGCATACAGTGACGATACCGTTCTCGACCCTCAGTATAAAGACCTCAACCCCTTTCATTGTGTATATCTTACTCGCAAAAAGCAGCCTTTTTACACCTAGCTAAGTTCTACTTATCCTAGGGAGTTTTATACGCGCCTACTGTACTTTTGTATAGCCCATCTCTGGTTGGTCTAAAGATCGCCAACCAATAATCTTACGAACCTTTAGACTAGTCCTTTATTCAAAGGCTATATATACAAGTTTGATGAATAACCATCAGACGCTAAACGTCTGGGGTTGGCTGTCACAGCTCCACCTCAGGTTTATGGAGGGGTTTGGACGGCAGCCTTGCGGGAGTTAACTTCTTCCTCCATTTTGCGAAGCTTCTCTCGGATGAAAAGATCTCTTTCGATGTCCATGTACTCTGGGGTGTTGTACTTGTACACACATTCGTACAACATCTCCTTTGGTACGGTGCAAGCGGTGGTAACGTTGAAGGTGTTGGCCTTGGCACACAAGTTGAAGATTCTGGCCAACTCGTCACACTTCTTCCACGAGTTCTTCTTCCAGTTTTCACGGACAACCTTTTCTTCCTTCGGAGTGAGAACCCAGATTGGGAGTGACTTGTTTCTTTCAGCGAGCATGTTGTGTGTGGTGTAGATGAGGAAAAGAATCTGCGGGTCACTATCTCTTTACTGCTATGTATCGTGAGGTGACAGTTGCATGAAAATTGTAAGCTGCACGTTCGCGAAAAGCTAAACTACCCGAATTATCAGACGATTCCTCTCCCTTATCGTTCTTCATGCTACAAGTATATAATCTTAATCAATCTAACTTGGATCCAGTCAAGCGCTTCAATTGATGAACGTGGGAAGGAAAAACTGGAGGCGAAACGGTAAAGATTTGAGAGAGAATCGAGAGAACGGCACTTAAGTAAACTCAATTTTTATCCAATTTTGGCCTACTTAAACCTATAATTTCGTAAAAACTGGCATACCTCAACCGATCATCGAGCAGTTGGTTTTAACCCCCAAGTTTCTACGCAAACCTCACCTTCCAAATTTCTGTCCTTCTCTTCCTTTCACCGCTACCCCCGTCATGGCTGTTTTTCGAATTGTTATTAGATATATATACAAATTTGACAATCATCTCGTCGCACTAACCCCCCAACGCTCCCCACGCTTAGAAACCCTTTGGATTTTCTCTGAGAGAAAGCTTAGTCCACTTAGGGAACTTATGGAGAGACTTTCTGTAATTCTTAGCGTACTTAGAGTAGTGGGTGTATTTGTCCTTTGGGTCCATTTCGTGCTCCTTAGGGAACTTCCATTTCAACTCCATAATGGCCTTTGGGATAATGGAGGTAGCTGGCACCGCTGGCTCGTGCATGGCATTGACAGGGTTCAATAAGGACATGTTCGTGACTTCGGCGTTCAATTTAGCGGTGTCATTCAAGTCTTTAGCTTCGCCTGGGGTAATGCGCCCGGTCTTGATCAAACCCAGGTACAAGACATCAATATTCTTGTCCACCACCTTCATTCTGCGACGAAGGCGATACTTCTGGTGACGAGACATTCTATAGGCAGACTTCCTATGACGGGTTAGTATCAATAATCGAACGCATTCACATAGTGCACATACCACAATAACCCACCAAAACTTGGGAGAGAGGATCTAAACGGACCAAACATGCTTTATGTATTACGGGATGAAGATCAGGATAAGGCGTGTTACGTCTGGCACTAAATATATCTGATGCACTGGTCGACTTTGCAGTGAAGGGCTTGAATTTTTCACGGTGTGTGCACGCACTTGGGAACGCGGCGGTTGAGCCATAGACGTGTCGGTACCTACAGGCCTGAACTAACTAGGCCTGACCATTATGGGGGATTATAGGCTGCTGAAATATTGAATGATGATATGAATACTTGCGTTGAACAAGAGTGTATTATTTTTTCTACGTGGCATGCGGAGAAACAGTATCTTGAGTCATAGCTACGGACGGTGGTACGTCCTACAAAACATGTTTTCTCAAATTAATTCGACTGGTGGAGTATCATTAATGCAGCGCTATACATTGGAAGTGTGAGTCCACATATTCACCATTTTCTCTTTCCGTAGATATACGTCTAGCCTCTATACCACTTTATCGTTTCGTTCCTCTTCGACCGTATTCGCATACAACACATAGTACTGCACAATAGATATCACATTGAAGCCAAATCCCACAAGCAGAATTCCCACCTTGCCTGGATTTTCCGCCATGACATCGAAGACCGTGCTTATATGGTCGTTTCTAGCCTCCAAAATCATTTCACAGCTCATGACGAGCTGAATAAAAAACAAGATGTTCCCCAGCACATCGAGCCAGATCCCGTTGATAGCCAACCCACCCATGCTCTTAGTCTTGTAGTTGAGGATCATCTGTGGGATAAACTTGAAGAAACTGGTGGCCATCTTCAAGGTGGACAACACTCGGATAAATGCAACATAGCTGAACTCATCCTCGTAGTCAGCGAACCAGTTGCGGACAATCACCAAAAGCATCAAGACAACAATCAGTTTGACTACCATGTTCACTTTCAACAGAGGGGCTACTGCAGCGGATCTCAGAAAGGACCTGAGGTAGAGTGACTGCGCCCGTGAGAGAGTTACCACCTGGTAGAGGAACACGAGGTTCATGCACATCCCGTGGACGTAGAACACAAGGTCATAGTAGTCGATCAACGTGGCTGGTTGGTCCTGGCTATCAGTGGTGTGCTGGGATTGGCTGGCGAATTGGCGCTTGGTTTCCTGGTGAAAGAGCTGCAACCAGATGGCTACGAGGTAGATCACATACCCGAAAATATTCAACAACAAGTAGTTGATTGAAAGTCCACCGGGCTTGATGTGGCCCTCTTCTTTCTCCTGGTACGACGTTAGAGGCTTGTACCTTGTGGTGACATCTCGGATAGATCGGATATCCCTCTGGTACTTGAAGAAGGTGGGATAGTACGACACGCTCTGGAGGTGTTAGTATGGACATATAGTTCGCAATGAAGAATACATACCCAGAGGAAGACGTACAGCATACCGAAAACGTCGGAGAACCTCGAGAGCGCCAGAAACATACTCGAGAAAGCTGGGATCGGGTGGTTGGTATGAGAGACGTGTCTTTAAACGTGGATAGCTCTCGCGGCGCGCGGGAAATCTTGAAAAAAGCCCGTGCCTAAAATAGATACGTCACGAGAAAGGTACCCCGGTTGACATGCGTGTAAGAATAGTCTAAATAGCTGAAAGTTTCACTGTTGGAAGTGTGATATTTTCATCTATGGCTTAATAAGGTAGTAATTATCGGGAAAAAATAGTCCTGATGCTCAGCTTATATGACTGGCTGCATATGTATGGGTGCACATAAATTATACAGTAAATGTCTACGCCAGCTGCTGTAATAATCACCCAGTCTGTGTTGCTTTTCAATTAAGCTCAGTAAAGAATGTGGTGTCAAGTCCGAGTTTAATTGAAATGTTGATCAGTGTATATGATTAGGATGTATATATATATTGCAATTGCATGTGAGTATACATAAAATTTATAACCTTCAGTATATATATTCAGCTATTATTTTATTAAAGTAAAATTAATCATACGACATTGTTATATATACACGTACCTAATTCTGGTTACATGTTATAATACACATCCTCAAAGATGACTTCTCTAGCTTTGATAGAGGGTTTTCAAGCGGATTACGATAAGGGTGGACCGCTAGTAAGTATACCACACGAGATGCTACAAACCAAGGAGATTGCCTGATTGCGAAATTTGCTTTTTTATATAGAGTAGATATCTATCTCATATAGCTTTTGCCCTGGCCAGAAAGTAACCTTTATTATGGAAACTCTAATTGTACCACTAGAATCTCTCGCAGTTGACAGTTAATAGTAAATTGTGGAAACAGTCATAAAATATCGGTCAACACGCCCTGTCAGGAAAGTCAATCATATGCAGATAGTCCTCCAAAACTCACATCAGGTCGCGCCAGTGGTTTAGTGGTAAAATCCAACGTTGCCATCGTTGGGCCCCCGGTTCGATTCCGGGCTGGCGCATAGTTTTTACCTCTAGGTACTATATTTGATCAATATCTTTTTGACTGTAATAAACTAAATTTCAAACAAAGCCAAGAAAAAAAAAACATAAAAAGCTATATCTGGCACTCATTCCATCTTTCCAGGGGTGAAGGAGAAGCCGTCACACCGGGGGTGTGACAATCCTGTACCCAACATCCGATCGCGATATGACTTTATAAACCCCACTTCCGCCCGTCTCTTCTCTACCACCCGCAATTCCGCACGACAATGTACTACGGAAAGACCGCGACGGTGTTTTCCACCCCCAAGGATGAATTGACGGCCAAAAAGTACCTCCTCACCAGGCCCGCGGACGTAGTGTACCCACTTGACCACGAAGCCGGCTACCCGCCGCGGGAAACGCCGGGAAAAACGCACACGTATCCAGACTTTGCACCGTGGCACCACTCATCACACGAGGACGAGCTCGCGGTGACAAACTTGCACAAGGGCTACAGCGAGCCGGCCGCCACGCAGAATGAGTTTCTTCTGGCACGTGGCGCGATGAGCACGGTGCTCTGCGGCGCGGCAGACGCAGCCGTTGCGCGCCTTTCAGCCGCAATGTTGCAGACGATCCAGCACCATGAGGCATTCAACAAGATCCCCGCCGCGAGCCACAGCTTCAAATTACCGCCGCGTGTGACGCTCACAGACCAGAAGCGTGAGGCGTGGCTCGCCAATTTGGCCAATGCGGCGTACCCGTTGCGGCAGTTGAGCCGCACCATCCCTCACGGGCTCAAGAAGAACAAGATGCTCCAGCAGTGTGTGGAGAAGCGGATCCCGTGTTGCCGCGCAGTGTGGTTTGTCAAATGCATCAGCGGTAACGAGATCCGGCTCCTCGCGCGCAAGGCCACGCGTGCGGACGCGTGGTGGGCGTTGGAGACCGAGTGGGTGCGCGAGTGGACGCATAACATCCTAGACCACGTGCACAAGCTCGCGCATGACTTGCGCGAGCCCGACCATAAACCCGACCGTGTCAAGGGCGAGCTTGCGTACGTGATGCGCCTCGTGGGCACTCTCTTCATGGAGCGCATGCTCGATCGTGCAGAGTTCCTCAGCGGGATACTCGAGCTCATGGCGGCACCCGGGTTGGCGCCCGATGAGCCACGCCTCGAGTGCGTTTTAGTTGGGCTCCAGTTTGTGAGTTTCCTTTGGAAGGAATACCTCGCGTGGGCCGATACTGCGCCCGCGAGCGCAACCAGCTTGACGGTCAGCCTCGTGCGCGTGTACGTGCGAGTGCAACAGTACCACAACACGTTGCGATTCCGCCCCGGCCCCGCCGCCAAGCAGTTGGCGCGCGCTCCACTCCTCGCGAACCTTATCCATGCGCTCCAGCAGAAGCTCTGCCTCCTCTTCCGCTCGCGCAGTGGCGACAACTTTATCTTTCCAGACGAATGGCCCAGCTTCCAGTGGCTTGTAGCCAAAGACAACTGGCTTGTGGGCAACGCGGACGACGCACGCCATTGGGACGTGATCAGCTACCGCAACGAATGCTTGTGCGGGAATATCATGTCAGGCGAGGCGCGCGCAGCAGACACATGCGAGACCGCCACCGCCGTTCTCGTTGCGCGCCTCGACCGCTTGCTCGCGGGCGACCTCCCGTTGAATGCCGTTGACGAGCTCCACGAACTAGTCATGGACTCGGCTGACTGGGCGCACAACATTCAGACCGTCGTCCATTGGAGCTGCTCCGGCTTCCGCCACCACCCGTTGACCCCCCTCGTGGGATCGCGCATTTTGGCATCGTTTCATTCGCACGAACCCGACTATGGCCTCCGCCTCGAGATCGAGCGTGCGGTACTCGACGCTGTCTACAGCATCCCCGACCACCTTCCGGAAAGCGCTGTTCAGAGCTGCAGTTTGCACCGGTTGGTCAAGGAGCTCTTCCAGTGTCGACTCTTCAACATAGGGTCGTATGTCCGCAAATTAATCTCATCAGGCCTCCTCTACGACCCCGCAGAAGGCCCACTGCTCTTCCACGTGTCGGTGTTCATCAACCTCCCGATCACCCACCACCCCGCGAGTCTCAACCAGGTGAACATGATCCTCCGTAAGTTGGGCCACGCACCGATGGACGACGCACGGCAGCTCTTGGAGCTCAACCTCCTCGCGCAACAGATTGCCACGAGCGTCATCGAGCCGGGTGCGGGCGCGGAACGCTGGGAATGCCACGTGCCGACGCTCGCGATGCAAAACCATCTCTGCCAGTGCGTGCTCAGCGAGCTCCGCGTGCGGATTGCGCAGTCGGAGCGTTTGATTCACGTGACGCCAGCAAAGGTGACCATGCTTTACCGCTTCTTCACCGCCAACGGTTGCCTCGAGGCGTTTTTCGACGACTTCGTAGTCAAGGTGCTTCTCAAAAATGAGGACAAGGTTTTGATCTACTACTTGGATTCTTTATACCTTATTGCCGAATTGGTCCAGCACCACCAGTTGTTTCTTATGTGGAGCTCACTCTGCAACCCGGCGAATGACCCTGCGGGTAACCGTCGCTATTCCAAGCTCCGCCGTGCGCGCGAAATCGGCACGGGTCTGCCGACCGCCGCTGCCGAACTCCCGGAGCGCGCAAAGTACTACTGCCTCTTTGCGTTGACAGACCTACTTATGGACAGCTTCTTGGACCTTAAAGACGACGGATTCTTTCTCCGGTTCTCGCGCTTCTGGCAGGCATCGTTGCGGATGCTTAACACGTGTGCGCCGCTCTGGAACCTTGACGAGGTAGCGCGCGCGGCGTTCTGCACCAAGTTGGAGAAGGTGATGGTTGAGGAGAACAATTCTGAGCTCAACCTCCACGGGCTCCTGGTCATTGCACGCGAGTTACTCGCGCCGCATGATGACTTCTTCACGCAGACCCCGCTGACGCCTAGCGAGTCCAACGTCTTGCTCGTGACCCAGGCCAACTTCAACGCGCTCATGAACGGATTTATCTCCGAGCCCGACGAGGCAAACTTCCTCCGGCTCTTCCACCACTACTGCACCAACTTCCCTGCTGAATTTGCGGCATGTATGAAGACGTACCTCAGCGTGAACTACGCCAAGTTACTCGGCGACACGGGGCTCGTGTATCGGGTGTTTGTCAAGTTCTTGACCCACCAGGTGGTTGAGCTCGTGGACTTGGTTCTGATGGTCCACGAAGTAGACCCAGCTGTGAAGAAGAGCATGATGGTGACTGAGACGTTCAATGGCATTGACAGTACCCACTTCTACCCTGTTTTGTACGAGATTCTTTTTACCGACTCCCAGACATTGGACAACTCGCCCGTATTCCAGACCATCCTATCCAAGGACCAGCAGCTTCGCTTGGAGATCTTGGTGGGAGCTTACAGGACTGAACACCCCCAGGAGTTTGTCAGCTTGCTTGCCCATGGATTGCTCGATGAAAATACCGATGGTTTACAGAGGACCGCCTCGCATAGCACGCTTACAGATCTCGATGCGGGACTCTTTGACGCTCCACGGTCTCCTATCGCGCCGCCAAGCTTTGGGATCGCTCAGACAATGTTCTACTCCGAGCCGTTTGCAAATAGCTACCGGGTATGCTTACTGGCGACTGTTGCGGAGCTCGCCATTACTGATATCGGGTTGCTCATCGACAAGCTCTTTACGCAACCGCTCATCTTCGCGCACTACACGCTTTTTGTGGACGTGTTGAATGCGTTGACGATGCCGCGTGGCGATGCAAACTATGAGGGGTTGGTGAATAGTACCGGCACGTTGGCAAAGATCCCGTTGTTCATCAACGAATTCAACTTGCCATTTTATCAGTTGCTCATCCGGCTTATTCTCGACGTGGAGGCGAGTAGTGACCCCAGTGTGGGGGTTCGGACCGTGATCCAGAACATCTTGGAGGTTACCTACACGCGCAGCACCGTGGTGCTCGGAGAGTCCATCCGGTATTTGAGCGAGCCGTTCCAGTCGAGTTTGTTACAAGAGTGCGAGGCAATGTTGTTGAAGAGTCAAGCGTTGATTCTGCAGATGCTTGAGCCAGTGGGGGGCGAGGAACATGCATCAGCAACGAGAGTTACGCATGTGTTGGCGGGTATTATCAGCAAGTCTTCGCAGTTGGTGAAGTCGGAGGTGCTGTTTTCGGGCGAGTTATTGAAAGATTTACACCGGTTACTTGAGATGCTTATAGAAGCAAGCGAAGCAAGAGAAGCCAATTCAGAAAACACTGCGAGAGAAGCTATCTCAGATAACATTATGAATGGGGAAATTGCAAATGAGGGTATTGCGAAAGAAGTCACCTCAGAGAGCATTGTGAATGAAAAAATTATAAACAAAACCACTGTGAATGAAGCCATCGAGGATGAAGTGCCCGCAGTGTTTAGCGAAGCCGGCAGAAGACTGGTGCCCAATGAATCAGCCAAACCTGCCAGTGAGACTCAGTACGTGCTCTCCTTCTTCTGCAAGATCCTCCTTATCAACTATCAACAAATTGTACACTTATTGATGGAAGACCCCGGCACTCTGTTTTTCGATGATTTGATTCGGTTACTCCAGCTGAAGGTGCTTGAGGAGGATACCAAGATAAAGATCTTGCTCTACGACATCTTGCTCTTGATGCGGTCGTCGGTGAAGATGCTCATCAAACCTGACACCGATGGGGGGTTCGTGCAAAAGCTCTTTGACTTGCCGAAGTTGAGCGCCTACAACCCGCTCCGTAGCGGCCTAGAAGCGGTCCGTGACAACTTAAAGACCGGAAACGACGTCCGCGACCGACAGTTGTGTGTGTTGGAGTCTAAAACGGGGAAATACCATCCGTTCTACTTTAAAAACTCCGAGTTATTGGAGGACTCAAACCCCGTGAGTCTGATGAACGATACGACAATTAATATGGCCATGTTTGACACCGCGATCGAGCGGAGAAACCCGACATAAATGATGCATTGGTATGATTAACGAGCGGTTTAGTAGAGATTTTAGGTCCTGGCAGACTCTAGATCTTAGGATTAGGCATCCCATAGCTGTGACTTCCAGGTCCGTGAGCGATCAACACGGCAACGGCTTAGATCGTTTGTTTCTAAAAAGATATTACTTTCCATATTATGGATGTCAGACGGAACTTTCTCTTCGATTATACGTGCAAGGGCATTTCAGATCTGGGTCGCTCTTGGTTCGGCGATTCTTCCAAGCCCTTAATTTTAAACCCCAACTCGGTATCCTTGCATTAGATGCTATAGAAAATACTCACACCGGTAACCATGTGAGCTCCGCCAAATGAACGGTGCCAGCGCCTGCACTTCTATAGCTTTCCTGTAGCCTATAGTTATGACATACAGTTTGCCTTAATGCGTGTACTAGAAAGTCGACGTTGTAGTGCTTACATATAGAATCCATGCATACTCACACATTTTACCGCGCTAGCACATGCATTTTGAAAGCTTAGCTTCCACTTCTCCGGGTTTCGACGCAGCATTGCGTATGCGGTACCGACACGTCCAACTGGTGACTCTTCGCGATTGTCACGCAAAGGGAGCTTTTTAACACTGCTCCATCGCATCCACAGAGTTTGATCAGAGTTAAGTAAACTGTATTTGTATTGAGCAATCATAGTTTCTAATCATCTTCCCCACAGAAAATATTTCTCAAACCGGTTTTCCCACTTCTGTATCATATCTTCTCCCTCCCCTTTCACTTCCACCATGCTGTGGAAACTCTCCGAACCAATGAAGAAGGAAATCTACAAATATGCCAAGTTTCCGCAGACACCAGTGTCCTTACGACAGATGGTGCAGTTTGGGCCGCGACCAAATCCGGGGTCGCTCTTCCGGGCGTCGCAGTTCATCGTGGAGGAGCTCCCAATCAGACTTGCCCACAAGGTGAAAGACATTGAAAATTCACCATCCAACTTGCGCGACTTCCCGTCAGTGTTGAAGGTGCGCGACTGGTACGCACAGTCGTTTGAGGAGCTTGTATCGTTACCGAAGCCTGTCATTGACGACAGTTTGAGGAAACTCATCTTCAACAAGGGTGAGACCGACAACTTGCACCACCCAGCGGTCAATGAAGAGCCGCCGGTGGAATCCAGCGAGTATATCGACGACGGGATGATTGTGGGCAGACACCACCAATCGCAGCACGCACCGTACGCGGATCTCCTGAAGAAGTACTATAACGCGGTGCCGCCGGAGTCGTTGAACTGCCAAGCATGGCCCCAGACGGTGCACGATTACAACACCGCCGTCACGGACACTTTGAAGAGGATCAAAAAGAGGCACGACGCTACAGTGGCCACAATGGCGCAGGGGGTGCTGGAGTGGAAGCTCTCGCGCGACCCTAAGCTGGTGAGCCGGAGCGGTGACCAGCTTGTGCATCTGAAGATCCAGAATTTCTTGGATCGCTTCTACATGTCGCGGATCGGGATCCGGATGTTGATCGGACAGCACGTCGCGTTGAACGACTTGTCGCGCCACTCGTACAACAACGAGGACTACTGCGGGATAATATGCACCAACTTGAACATCCGGGATGTCATTGAGGACGGGATCGATAACGCGCTGTATATCTGCGACGAGCACTATGGTCTTTTTTCGAACCAGGTCAAAATCGAGGTCCATTGCCTGAAGGACATCTCCTTTATGTACGTTCCGGGCCATTTGATTCACATGATCTTTGAGACATTGAAAAACTCATTGAGAGCTACGATTGAGTTTCACACCAAGGAGCAGATGGCCAACGACCCCGCCATCACCTCCATCGAAGATGTCAAGTTCCCGCCAATCAAGGTTATTGTCAGTGAGGGCTACGAAGACATCACCATCAAGATCTCCGACGAAGGTGGCGGGATCCCGCGGTCGGAAATTCCGTTGGTATGGCAGTACTTGTACACCACCGTAGACGAGACGCCGTCGTTGAGCCAGGAGGGACAGCTGAACTTCAAGGCTCCGATGGCCGGCTTTGGCTACGGGTTACCGATTTCCCGGTTGTATTCACGCTACTTTGGCGGCGATTTGAAGTTGATCAGTATGGAGGGATATGGGACGGATGTGTATCTCCATTTGAACAGATTGAACAGCTCGTCCGAGCCGTTGCAATAGAGAGGCTCAAAGTGTTTTTTTCGTAATGCCAATTTGCAATACAATTTTTGGGAGTAGCAACCGCTTGAAAGTAACAACGACATACCCTGGAGCTAAATCATAAATAATCCGAAGCATGTCCATGGCTTCAATCCGCGTTTCAATATCGACAGCGGCCTATAAAATATCAAGTTGGTTCTGAAACTGATTAAAAAGACGGGCAAGTCACAAATGCCGAGTACATAGACCAACTATATAGATCACGTAAAACTATTGACATGCATCCATCTACGTTACAAATCTATATACAACTCAGTGGGTCGCCCCACGCCAGTTTTATCCATCCATTCCTGCAGCACTACCCTATTTAAACCACTTAATCATGTAGTAGAAGGAGACGATGGTGAAGAGTGCCCCGATGTAGAAAATCCACTTGTCCTGCCAGCATTTCTTTTCAATGTATCGGATGGTTTGCCTGGACACCCCCAATGTCTCCAACGTCTGGTGCATCGTCACTTGCATCTTCTGCAAGGTTTCGTTCTGTTCCACCAAGTGGTCCAAGGACTCCGAGGCCTGCGCAATGATGAAATCGAGCTGTTGGTTTCCCAGCGATATGGTGTCTCTCTCCTTGGCCAAACCGTCGGTATATGACATGTCAAACTGCTGCTGCTGGCCCTGATATGGCGTTGACGTAGAGTATGGATTGTCCGAGGCAGTAGCCTGGGTCCTCCGCCCCAAGAGTTCCGATCGATTGGCCTCCTGGAGCGTCTCGTCTCTCTTGTTCTTCAATCGTTGGAACTCCTTTCTGGACTGGTCGATGTCAGTTCGGAACCTCTCCAACCGACCCTCTGCCTTGGCTTTTTTGTCTGAATTCACTTCTTGCTTGACCAAATCGGCGTATTCGTCCACCGTCCGCGTCAAGGCGGTGAGTGTGGAGGTGATCTGCCCTTGCAATGACAACGGCGCTGTGGCCACGTTTTCGTCGAAGCTGGTCAAGTCTCGTCTTAGCGTGGTGGTCTGCTTTAAGGCAGAGTTGTAGATTACATTCTTTGTCGTTAGTATCCACAGTTTAGAGTCTATCCAGGTAACATACCATGTCGGCTAGTGGGGAGATGTTTGGATGTCTAATGTGGAAGTATATCGCGTGTTTTTGTACTGCACGCGGACATTAGGTTGGTAACGAGACGATCAAATCCTGCAAATACAAGGCGCTGAACTGTGCACGTGATCATGGCCGAGTTGTCTAAACAGTTTGAGAATTCTGCGGTATACATAGGATGGAGACGAGGAATGGCCCGTATTCTTTTTTCATTAATGAGTAACTCATAAATATTTAGTGTGGTTTATGCAAAAAAAAAAAAAAATAACCTTATATCTCTACCTGAATCCTTTAAGTGTAATGCGCAGCTATACGGCTTGTAAAACCTGTATTTTCACAGTGCACTGATAAACGACCCCAAACCACATTGATTTCATCACCACGATTTTTATCCAGAAACTCCAGATACCCTATAGCCCCTCAATCAATATTTATCCTTTACAGCTTCATGCCTTCTTGCGTGGTACACGCCCAGACCTTCATAAACTTCATTTCTTTTGATACTAATCGTAATCTTACCCCTCTCAGATACTCCATTATGCCTCATTCAAACCTCTTCAGCCTGATATATATTTTATCCCTCTCTTTGTGTACAAAAAACAAGGCTTTTAGATTGCATTCTTAGGCTATTTACAAGAAATCAACAAATCAGGCTCTGTAGAACAACGCGGACTTGTTATCACCCGCAACAACCACCTGTTCTGCCTTACCACGCACCCCAATCTGCAACCTGGAGTTGTTGATATTGTTCAATCTGAGCATCCGGGCCGTATCGGTGGATTCACCAGTGTCTGGTTCGAGCAACGTCGGCACATACACTGGCTTACACGCCTGGGTCTTTTTCCCGTTACCCAACTGACCAAACGCATTGCCACCCCATACCAAGACATCGTTGTCAGTGGCATTGTTCAAAGAGTTGTGCAAGGTCGTTATCACGTGATTCAGTCCGACGGACCAGTTTCTAACCGGAACCGAAACCACTTCCTGAACCGCTTCATTGTACTCCTTCATATCGTTCAAAAGCTTGATCTTCGCGGGTTCGGCCTGCGAGTGCACGTACTTCCCAATCCCCAAGGACCCGTTGATACCGTTACCGAAGGCAAAGTAAAAGTCAGTCATCTCCTCCTCGGGAGCGGCTTCTGCGCCGTTGCGGCTCTGCTGAAAAAAGCGGTTAATGTCCTTTGCCTGGTACTTGGCAAACGAGAAGTTGCCCCCCGCGTAAACGTCAGTCGCAACCGGGTATATGCCCGTCTTGAAGTGGCCCTTGAGGGTGATTTTCTTCGGGACAGGGATAATTTCCGAATTATAGTTAACCAACTGGCCCAACTGGCCGTACGTGTTCAAACCCCAGGACCACACTTCACCAAACTCGTCGAGTGCGAGCGTGTGATTGTTCCCGGCCGCGATCTTCGTGATATGACGACGTTGCACTCTGTTCTTCTGGCGGATGTGACTGAGTAACGCCACCTCGTGCAACTGGTTCGGCGCCGGCAACGGGTCGAACTGGGTGATAAATGGCACCCCGAACTGACCCTTGTTCTTTCTCTGAGCAAGGTCCTCGTCGGCTAGCCCGGTAGACGCGGTGAACACCCTTCCATCGACGGAGAGCGCCACGAGATGGCTCTTCCCAGCAGCAATGTCCTGAAACTGCCCGCTGAGTCTTGAGAACGGCAATTCGGATGAGCCAAAGTGCCAGTTCCGGCGGTACTGGTCGCTGTGGAACGCTTTCTGATCAGCCAACAACTCGGGCATGAACACGATCTCACCGTTGCCACGCAAAAGGTAGATCACACCGTTGCTGATTGCCGCCTTTTGCACCTTCCAGCCCTTCAAGACTTTCACTGGGGTTTCAGACCCGTACGTCTTGCCCCATTGGTAGACGTCGCCCTTAGAGTCAATTATCACGTTGGAGCGGCGCGACAAAAGCACGTCGCGGATCAAAAGGTTGTCAAAAAACTTCATTCTCATGGGGAATCTGATTGCGGTGGAGTCAGCAGTGGCGGCATCCATATCCTCGGCGGCTAACATTCCATCCGAGTTGTCTCCCCACAAGTACAACCCCGGGACCTGCGACAGGTTCGGGTTGACCACTAGTGGAATTTCGGCGGCCGCACGCTTGGCCGACTTGAAATCGAGCACAGACTTTGCTTTGGAGTCTGCAAGCTCGTCCACAATCCCAAAAATGGCCTCCACCCGGCGCCTGTAGGCGGGAAACTTGAGGTATACGTCGTAGCCAACCAAGATCCCGCCAAGCGCGAGGAACCCAAAAAAGAGAGCCTTGTACTTTTCGATGCGCTGGAGCTTGTTTTCAATTGCTGTTTGCGACTCCTGCGTCAACTTCTGCTCGTGGCGTCTCTGGTTGGCGGCAAACTCTGGCCCAATGTTTTGTCCGTCCGACGGTGGGTGGTTGTATGTACGAAGCTGCAAAGCAGAGCCGAAGGCCCTTTTTTGAATGAGCGGAGCCCTGAACGGAGTCCTAAGAGTTGAGTAGCGGAGCATCGAGACAATGTAGAAAAAGCGTAGAGGCCGGCAGATGGATATGTATTTCGTTTTTTTTTACGCGTATGCAAAGGACAAAAAACCGCAATCAGTCGCATTCTAGCATACAGTAGAGACTAGATATATAAATTGATTTTATCACAAAGGTCTTTCTAACCAGTTTAAATTTATAATTATGGGAAAATAAACCATATACATAATGTAAATCCCGCTCCCCCTAACTTACAAATAATGGGCGTATAAATAAATAGTGTATTGGAATGTGTAACCAGGTAAAAAAATTGGGGGCTGAGGACGAATATGTACCGCTCAGCATATGAAACGAAAGCGCTACTCCAGAAGAGGTACCGCTATAGAACTAAAATGAATTATCTGGGGTTTGTGTGTGCATAAGCAAAAATCAAGACTTAGGCGAAGAAAGCGAAGTATGTACCAACGACAGCGGTAAAAGCGGTGACAATGTAACCAGTTCTGTAGACACCCTTGACGGTCAACTGCTTACCGAAATCCCAGACAATGTGTCTGATACCATTACCAAGGTGGTAGACAAATGGGTAGGCAGCGATGGCCTTGGCGGAGACCTGGAGAGCCACTGGCAAGCCGACAAAGAAGGCAACAAGGGCGTCTGAGGTGAGACCCAAGTCGAAGACGGAAGACACGGCGTAACCACAGGTCAAGGCGTAGAAACCGACAGCCATACCAACACCGGTGATACGGTGGAAGGAGGACATAATGGCAGTCAATTGTGGCTCATAGATGGTCAAGTGGGGGGAGGTTGGTCTGTTTTTACGTTGGGCAACTAAGAGCTGTTGTTCGTACTCCTTCGAGGTGATCTTGGTAGAGATAGATCTAACCGATGATCTCAAAATTGGAGAAGAGCGAGACAAGGCTGGTCGTGTTAGTATGGTGGCCGATAGTAAGGGAAAAGCCGATCATCTCTGACATGATATCATTCGGGACTCTCAAATTGGTCCCAAAGCTTCAGCTTGATGGCTCCTTCCAGTCTGATATCTCACATACCTCTGATACCTAAACCAGCACGGGCAGCAATCATTTTATTTATAATCTTGAATACGTTCAGAAAACCGGGTGTGTGTACTGTGGAGCGCCTGCATTTTTTTTTAACACATCCCACTCAGTGTAGCCCCGGTAGGTGCCATACTAAAAATGTTTCTTTCTCCGGGTATCGGTGCACGACCTATTTTTCAGCCAATGGTAGCGAGGTGAATCGTAAGACCCCGGCGTCCGAGCGCAACGCAATCACGTGTAATATGGTGAGAGTACTACTATTCCCCCGCCAGAACATGCGCAGCCGGTGCCTTAAGGGGAGCTACCCCGGACTAGCACTGCAGAGGTGTACCAAAATAAAAAGCGTCAGGGTACAGGAGTATTTTAAGTCATAGAAAAAGATGATATACAAAAATGTATACCAATGAAGCTTACGGCAATTGGCATGGATTCTTGCGTCTTTAAAGACAAGCCTCTTTGTCACAAGGGCATGCATTTCCCCCAGACCAACAGAGCAATTGCTACGCACATACAGAGTTCAGCTCTCGTATTTGTCGTTATTCTCTCAAACAGAAAGCTGCTGCAATGTAAAATTCTAGATTGTATAAATAGTCACTAGACCCATTTTTTGCGTGATCAACAGCTTAATCTGGCTGTAATCTGGCTGTACAGAAATGTCCGGGCATACCGAGAAGCTACTTGCCCACCATAGATGTTCACACCGTCTCAAATACACAGACCGGAGGCTCTATGAGAACCTTGTGATCTTCACCTATCTACGGAAAAGTCCCAACTTCAAGATCATCTGCACTTATGGCCCTGATAGGCCTCTTCCATCTGAGCTCGACCGGTACATCAACTCAAATAAAAGCAACTATCTTCGTCGAAAAGTTACCCGGGATGTCTGACACAAGCTCCGGCAATTTTGTAAGTTGACTAACCAGGGTTCGGGACTCGACTTAGACTGCCATTATACTAGCCGATGGTGGGCTGTGTAGATAGAATGCATCCTAGCCGGCAACAACGTCTCAGAGGAGGTGCACAAGTTTTTTTTGGGTCGATGTCGGATTTACTATATCCCGAGTGGCACGAGAATATCTTAGTCTCCGATCGGGTGAGGCGATGTCCAGGGGTTTGGGTCTGTAGTTCTAGTTGCACTGAGGATGTGGTGTGTAAGCACCCTGAAGACTTGGTGGGCAGTGACAATGAAATAGAGGAGAACGAGTGTGCAATTTGCCTTGAAGGGTACGTATCCGACAGCATTATCACCTGCATCAACCACTGCGGCCACTTTTTTCAAAAGGACTGTCTCGACGCCTGGTTTCAGCAAACCATCCGGGTACAGTTGTTAGCCTGTGTGGCGTGCACCCAGCCGCTCCAGGTGTCATTGATGGTGAGGATTTTCTACCCATCCTGGGATGAATCCTTTAGTCTTGAGTCGTTAAACATTGCTCAATAAAACTAAGTGAATTTTTAGAACGAGGTTCTATTGTAATTTGTAAGCATAAGGTTATAATGCTGAATCATGGTTGACAAATACTGTTTATGCTATGCAACTATTGATGCTGTGATATAGACTTTCATACCCAAAAATAACCAGAAATATAGGCAAACAAATTTATAGGTATATTCAACGTTATGCTAGAAAATATTGTTAGATTCCTCTGACATTATAATCAGGGTATGGCGCCATTTCGTATTTAGAGACGGGATGGAACACCATCGGCCTCTTCGACTCTTTCTATGACAATGGCAGAGGCACCGCCACCACCGTTGCAGATACCGGCAACACCGATTTTCCCACCCTCTTGCCTCAAAACCGAAGTCAAAGTAATCACAATACGTGCACCGGAGCAACCAATTGGGTGACCCATGGCTACAGCACCACCATACACATTCACCAGCTCCTTACGCAAGCCCAAGATCTTGGTGTTGGCCAACCCAACCACAGCAAATGCTTCATTCAACTCAACAAAATCGATATCCTTCACCGAAAGATCCCCTGCATGCGCAAGGGCCTTCACCACCGCGTCAGATGGAGCTTCTGGGAACTCAATTGGAATTCTCTCGGCTTCACCCCAGCCTCGGATCACCGCAATCGGCTTCAACCCTAGCTCACGCACCTTAGCAGCAGAACAGACAATCACCGCGGCACCACCGTCACTGATTGGAGGCGCGTTGCCAGCGGTAATGGTCCCCTTCGCACCCTTTGGCACAAAGGCTGGATTCAACAGCTTTAACTTGGCTTCATTCAACTTTGGGACTTCTTCATCAATCGTGATCACCTGGTCTGGCTTGCCTCTGGCGCCCTTGATGGTGACAGGTGCGATCTCCTTGGCGTACTTGCCCTTCTGGTGGGCCTGCTGGGCCTTCTTGTACGAGTCAATTGCAAACTGGTCCTGCTCCTCACGCGAAAAGTTGTGTTTCCTGGCACAGTCTTCACCGCAGACCCCCATGAGGGAGCCATCGTAAGCGTCACTCAATCCGTCTCTTTGGATCCCGTCGATGGCAACGGAGTTACCATAACGGGCACCCTTACGAGCATCCGGAAGGTAATATGGAGCATTCGACATGGATTCAGCTCCACCCGCAACGACGATATCCGCAGAACCGGTAATGATAGACTGGGCAGCCATGATAATGGTCTTCATACCCGAGGCACACACCTTGTTGACGGTGGTGGCCACGGTGTGCTTGCCCAACCCCGAACCGAGGGCAACCTGACGGGCAGGGTTCTGGCCCAAGTTTGCCTGCAACACAGCACCAAAAATGATCTCGTCAACCTGCGCAGGCAAGATTTGCGGGACCTGTGCAAGCGCCGCCTTCACGGCATGAATCCCGAGGTCTTTGTACCCTAGGGAGGAGAGGCCGCCCTGGAAGGAACCTAGCGGTGTACGGGCAACAGCAACAATGTAAATAGGGTCTATTTGTGAGAGCTTGACAGGCATTTTTTTTGTATGTGACGAAAAAGTTGTAATAGAAGAGAGACGGGGGAAGAGAAGAGCTTATATACGCATGTGCTCTTCTCCGTGCGTGCGGGATTTCTGGCACGTGCCGTCTTTCGCGGCCCCACTGTCAGTCGGTACCCCGCAATCAGTGTGAGATTTGCCGAGTGTCTAGGCAAGAAATGGCTTACGGGTCCTGCACGAAGGTATTTCGGGCCGAGGCACGGACAAGCGGCAAGAACCATTCTGGGCTGATGAATAAAGCGAATAAATAGTTTGGGTTAGCCGTTAATGATGATTTCTCGTGTGGTAGTTATTACTCGTTATAGTAAACCAATATAATGAAGCATGGAGGATAGGTGGCACCAATGACGCCTTGCATATCTGTTGGTTGGACTCTGTAGACCTCAAAACAGTACCGTAGAAATTGGTATGAACGGGTTCCGTGAAATGTCTTAATACGCGTTGATGGCTATAATTAGATCCCTTTTACCTCTAGGGATCGGGTCTAGTGATGCGTGGACCCGGTCAAGCGTCCTTGTTGAAAACTTTTATTATGCACTCCAGTTGGGTATAGTACAGGTCGGCTCGTGAACCAATATCGAACAGATGCACACCCTCTGGAAGCCTACCGCCTTGCAGAAATCCTCCCTTTATCTCTAAAAACTTACACCGTACTTACACTAAAATGTATTATGATTGTATGTACAATGGCCTTCTTACTTAATCCTCCAAAAAGACCCCATCGGCCACAACATCACGCTCAAAAACTTTCTTACCGATCTCGTAGGTGGAGATCATAATGGCGCATGCAGGTGCGATCTTAATCACCCGAGGGGTGAAACCCGAGTAGAGCGCACGCATCCCCTCCTTGTGGTATATTTTCAAGATGTACGTCATTACCGACGCTGGAGGCCTGGCTATGGTGCCCGGCGATGCCAGCTGCTTCTGCGACATGAGCTGTAATCTGGTCTTACCCACATCGAATGGGTTGGTGAAAAGTGCGGCCACCGCGCCTGCCATCGACCCGGAAAGAAAACTGGAGATGAGCACGTTCTTGTTCTCGTTATACAGGGCAGTGCTTTCGCCAGAACTGGCAGCGGTGCGGCGTCTCAAGGAATCACCAATAGACGACTTTAGATGTTCATAGGAGAACCAGTAGATGCCACTGAACGGAACGTCTCTCCAGAGGGTCAACCCTAAGCCTGTAAAAAGCGTACCCAAGCCCTTTTGCTGCACCGCGGTCCGCATGTCACGCAACAAGCTCTTCAAAAGATCGCTGCTCTTGGATGCCTTAGACTCATTAGGGATTGATTGGAATCGTGTTTTCAACAACTCCAAGGGAGAAATGCACGTGGCCGCAAGCGTCCGCGAGATTGACCCACAAAACAACGGGTTCAACGCGTGGCCGTATAAAGGAGAGTGGTCTCGACAGTATTCGTACCCACTGTAGTAGATGACGTTGGAGGGGACCGCCATGATAAGAGTCAAAGAAAGGCCTCTCCATAAGGTGGCTAAGCCTTCATGCTTGGGAATGTTGATGAAGCCGCGAAGAGTGGAGTCGATACGCAAGCACTGGGGATGGTGTTGGTTAGTTCCCGGCTGGCAGTAGTCCTTCAGCATCCAGAAAACGTCTGTCGGAGAGGCAGACACTGGCACTGCCTTCACAAGTGTATTTCTGCCCGTAATTGGTGCCACTGGGCTTCCTGCGCCGCAACATACGCCAGAGGGAAGCACCTCCTGCTGTTGAATCCGGATTCTGATCACGTCAAACGGAGTAACCACACCCGAGGTGATGATCGAACCGAGACACGCGCTGATCATTCTCTGCCCTAGCGTAATTTCTGTCTTTTGCAGCTGCGTTTGCTGGGTAGGTGCTGGGGATCGTGACTGGACCATCGCGGCCACGGTGTGCTCGTTTGCCGTTAACTGCATACAAAGCGAGGTTTTTTTTTGTGTGGAGAGTTCTTTGTCTGAGAAATTTTCACCCAGGAAGGTAGAAGTATAGATGGGTGCGAAAGGTGGGTATAGTTATATTTTTTCAGTCCAACCTTATATCGCAGGAGAAAAATTACTATACGTACCAAGCTGACAGAAATAATTTCTGGTGGCGGCCTACAAGTCCGAAAGTTCGCGGAAACGCACCAAAACGGTTGGGTTCAAGCGCGGCCTTTCGCTTAGAAATGCCGCCCGGGGACCTGAACAAGGCATGACGAAAAAATGCGATACATACATTAGTCAGATGGGGATTGTGGGAGCTCTCGTGACTCGCTGTAATTGGGTCGTCAAAAATTGTATTTAATATTAACTACACAAATACGGCCGCGTAGGATCGCTGACAAATGGACGTTATAAGCCAACGTAAGTGGAACAGACCCCAATGCTTACAAAATATATCGTAGCTCTACGAACCTGACAGATAGACTTCGAACTGCATAGATGGGACGATGAGATTGAATTATATACACCCGCGTGCTGTGGCGTGTTTGTGGCACCTGTGGAAGTCCTCGGAGACATCGGAAATTGCCAGTGCCACCACGCGACTAGTTGGAACGGACATGAGACGGCCAAATATGAAGACCTTGAGGTGGGTCTTTATGGACCTATCCGTCTGAGATGTATTGTACCGTAGCAAAATATAGTGATTGGGTTTCTCTTAAACCGCGGCACAACAAGCAAATGTTTAGCAGAAAGTTGTAGGATGGCACCTCTATTTTTCCTCGGCATCCAGTTGAACTGCACTGTCCTGGGTCTCAGTATCATCTTCCTGTTGGCCAGATCCCGAGTTGCTGAAGCGTAAGGCCTCTTCTTCAAACACACGATGACTCCCCATGAATAGCGCCCCATGCATCATCCCGAGTTTCTTCATATACTGCGTTTGCAAACATGTGATGCTTAGAAGCTGGTTGAAGTCGGCCAAGTTTGATTGGAGTTGGGAAAGCTGGTTCGCAAGGTGTGTTAGTTGCCGCGACTTGAGGGAGGAAGAGGTTTGCGATGACATTAGGATGATTGGTATGGGGTGAGGTCGAGCTGTTTTAGTTGATTGCTCGGAAGTATGAAACATAAACAAACATCGCGTCATGTAGACAAAGTAATTTTTGGTCACGTGATTCATATCCTGTCAAGGAAATGTTTGAGGAATAGTGCGAGATATTTCTTACGACATTGGTTTAAATAGGACTATAAGCGTGGATTAGAAATTTAAAATTATTAGAGGGGGAGATGGTTTTTTTTTCCAAGCCTAGAAGCACGTAATCAGGATTTGGGGGTCTGGACCACGATGAATGAACTATTACCTTTGGCAGTATGGCCTATACACTTGCAGCCTAAACCTGATACTTGATTTTGTTATACCAATATCGATCTTTAAATTAGTAATCAATGGATGTTTATTTCCTTAGTCTCATGGGATGATGGGACTCCCCCTGTCTAGGAATATGGAGAGAAACAGGACGTATTACTCTGATAGTGAATTATTGATCTCACACCGTCTGACAATTGGTGATCATTGGATTATCTGTAACCAGCGCAAATTTTTTATCAATCCTCCTTATTTAGCTAGCTCTAAGATGCCTACAACCCTTAATGGAAGTAAAGTAAGAATATCTTTAGATTTATAGTGACGCACAGCTCCTCTCTAACTTCATATAGCCTGATATCGGTTAAAAATATGATGACAACTATTTCATTCCAGATATATACGACTTACGAACATAGCATAGTATTCGTATACACGGGCATTGGCAGGGACCATTCAATGGCACTTCATTCAATGGAACCTCGTTTCATGGTGCTTGTCAAACCTAGACATGCCGGTGGTGTTCAATGGCACTTCGTTCAATGGAACCTCGTTTCATGGCGCTTGTCAAACCTGGACATACCGGTGGAGATCCCCAAACCCAAGATCCACTGGATTGTCATCGATCTCATCGTGCTGCGGCCCTGTCACAATACAGTGTAACCGCATCCCCGGATGATAGTAAAGCCCCTGCAACAATTTCGGAGTCACCAAGAAGTACTGGGAGGTCAACTCACCGGCACAAGCATTCTCCACTAAGTGCTTGTGCACGATCTTCTCGTTGCGCGGGTCCATCCCCTGGTTAATCTCATCCACCACGCGGAAGGGAAAGTTGGTGATGCCCTGCAATGCCATCATGAAAAAAATGGTCGACACCGCACGCTCCCCACCGGACTGGACATGCGAGTCCAACACGGCAAAGTCGGAGTCGTCGCGGAACTTGACCATGATCTCCATCTTCCAGTCCTTGAAGAGCGGCGCCTTGAAAACGCGCACTTCGCCCGCAGACGCAACCTTGGTGAACGTCGAGGCGAACTTTGCGGAGATCTTTGCTACAAGACTGTCGAGCCGCGGCTCCCACTTAGTCTGGATGGTCTTGATTTCTGCTTCAATGGCCTCGGCCTGCTGCTTGAGCCGCGGCAAGTCCTCTTCCAAACGCGCAATTTCCTCCAAGTGTTTCTGCAACGTGGCGATCGCCGACTCGGACGTGTCGGGAAACATCTCCAACTCGCCGCGGATCTTCTTGATCTTCTTGTTGATCTCCACCTCCGTCAACTCCTGCTTCTCAAGATACACCTTGCAGATGTTGCCCATGTACTCACGCTCTTCCTCGGAGAGGGTGTGGCGCTCGTTGCGGAGGTCTGAAAGGTCCTCGTTCTTCGCCGCGTTGTACGCCTCGCGTGCCGCGCGGTACCGCTGGTCCAACTTTTCGCGCTGCGTGTCCACACTGTCCAACAAGCTCTGCAAGGTGGTGACCTTGTTCAAGTGCACAAAACGGCGGTAACGAGCACGTACCACGTCGCCGTCGAAATGCGCCATCTCGCGCGCCACCTGCGCGCACGCAATCGCTTTACCCATGCGCGCGCAGTGGAGCGCATAGATCGCCTGCTCACACTGCCGGATGTAGCCGGTATAGTCGCGCGCGCACTCCGCCTCCAACTTGGTGATCTTCTCGTTGATCGTCTTAACCCGCAACTCGAATTTCTCAAGACTCGCCTTGACCCCGTCTGCGAACCGCACTTCCTCATGGACCTCCTTGTACTCTGTAGTGAGCGCCTGCAACTTGTCTCGCAACTCGCTCGCCTGTGCGCGCACCTCGTCCTCCTCCAGCTTTGCACGTTCGAAGTCCACCTTGTATTGCTGTATCTCACGCGCGATCTCGCGCTTGCGCTCCTCCGTCAACCCGGTGGAGCCAAATGTCTGGAAGGTCAGCACGCTCTGCGTGCGGTACATGATCTGCCGCGAACCGTAGTTGGATTTGCTCACGTTGTACATAAAGTCGCCTGCGATGAACTTTATAAAGAGGATGCGACCGTTCGCATCGGGTGTCTGCAACGTGCGGAGTTGTTCCTCGCTAAGCGGCCGCAACGCCACGGGAATTTTGTGGATCTGACACTGCTCGCCCAACATTTGCACCACGGCCTTCGGCCCACTGACAAAGTCTGCAATAAAGCCATCAAAGCCGTATGTACGTACTTGCTCCGCGCTCATTGGCAGAGAGAGCGCTTTGGTACCGACAGTACGGATCGGCGTGTTGATCTTTGCATCGTCGAAGATTGCACGCGACACCGCCGCGTACGACTCTGCCGTCACCGTCACCGCCACCTTCGTCCCGAGGTCCACCACCGTCTCAAGCGCCTTCACGTACGCGGGTTGCACGTCCAAGGACATGAGCGGTGACTCCCAGTAGCGACCCTTGAGCGCTGCCAGCTCGCGGAGAAAGAGGTGCGCACGTTTCGCTTCGCCAAACTGTTTGTGGCGCTGCTGGTCGAAGACGCCAATGCGGTCGCTGGACGTCAAGCGCGAGCGCAAGCGCTCCACCTCACCACGGCGTGTTTGCTGCTCACGTGCGCGCCGCCCGAGGGCGCGCTCAAGCTCGTCAAGAGACTCTCTCAATTCCGAACGCTCGCTATGAAGCGCGTCGCGCCGCGCTTTCGCTTCCGTGATGTCTCGCGCCTGCGCAGCCTTGGCCTCGACCTCAGCCTTTCCCGCCAAGATGACCTCTTTCTGCGCTATCGCCTCCTGTAGCTTGCCGCGTTTTTGCATCGCACGCTCCTGTAAGCTCTTCTTCTTCGCCGCCTCGGTTGTGAGCTGCTCTTCGAGCTCAGCAATCGCAAGCTTCGCACGCTGCGCCGCCCCTACGAGCGCGTCCGCCTTTGCGACTGCGGCTGCGAGGTCTTGCTCTGCTTCTGCAAAGTCCACGCGCTTCTTCTCCAATTCATTCACAAACGGCCGCTTGTTTTCGCGAAACTCCGCCAAGTTCTGTTTCGCTTCGTCGCGCACCGCCTTCAACTCCTTCAACTGCTCCATCTTGTCCTGCAAGCGCGCGTACGGAAGAATCTTCTTGTGGATGTCCAACTCGCGACGTTTGATCTGGTACGCTTCGTAGTTCTTTGCGTTCTGCTCCAACTTGGCGCGCTGCGTGACCAATACGTCGTACTCCGCCTCGGCCTTGGCGACTGTCTCCGCACCAATAGTGCGTGTCTGGTCCAAGTCGATCAACGCCTGGTGCTTCGTGTACAAATCGCCACTGCCGACAGAGCGCTCCGTCTCCTTGAGTAATTGCTCCTGCGTCATCTGCGCAAAGTTTGCAACACGCTCCTGCGGCAAGAACTGACACAAGTTGTCGAGCTGAATGTTCAAGCCGTGACAGATGCTCTTGACGGCCTTTTCGTTCGCCTCGCGCCCGTCCACGCGATAAACCGACTTTTTTTCGCCGAATGTGCGTTTGATGACGATATTGGGGCCTGTTTTGTTCTTGAGTTCAATCTCGATGGAGGCCTGCGTCTCGTTGATCTTGATCATCGATTTCATGTCCTTGCGGCTGATCAAGCGCTCGTTGCCGCCTAACCCCAAGCAGATCGCAGAGACAAGCGTGCTCTTGCCCGTCCCGTTAGGGCCGATGATCATGTTTAACGTCGGGCCCAAGTGAAACTCTGCGATGGAATATGTGATAAAGTTTTTAACTTTGACGCGGATGATCGAGCCGGGAAGGTAGGTATTGTCACCATCGGTGGCACGATTGGCGGAATCGTTGATAGTTGCAGATCCACTCTCTATTTTGACTCGCTTCTTGGGTCTGTGTTCGGGGGCCACAAAGTCACCGAGCGGAGTCGGTTCCCAGTCCTCTCTGGGTCTCAGCATGTTGGGGAGTGTAAGTATTAATGGGTGTGGCAACAGATCAAAATAAAATACGCGCCATTTTCAGACGCGTTGTGCGTTGCTGGTGACTGCACTACCGGAGAGAACGACGGAGAAATTCATCTGTAAATTGCAACAGTGTCGCAATTGTAGTTATCTAAGGGTATAAAATTCTACGGTAATTTTTTAACTCCCCCATGTAAACAACAAATTCGATAGCAATTTACAAATGGAGTGGATTAAAATGTTTAGATTATGGCTCACCCCTGCTAATGGCTTCAGGGTGAAAAAAAATTAACGACAATCAGCGGAGCGTTTTTCCCGGGTATATCCAGACAACAATATCGGCTACATCAGGTTACAATTACAGGTACCTTCTCGACTCTCTCTCTCTCTCTCTCTCTCTCTCTGGTAGGACAGGCTTTTAACCATTCAAAAACACGCTTTTATTTCCTTGTCCGTTTTGTATCTTATCAATTTAGCCTATTTTCATAACTTCAATATTTATTAACCGGTTGCTCCTTTTCCGTTCCACCCGCTCGAGCTTTATGTGCAGGCCACTGGCGATTTTTCTCTGATGTGCAACTGTTTATTTACGTGTATACAACCCATTCCCCGTCACTCATCACACACATTTACCTTATACCGATGCCACCAAGGATAAAGCGCCGTACAACGGTAGCTGCGAGACGTATCATTGCGCTCGAAAATGAAGCAGAGCTTGAGAAGGTTCCTCGGCCGTTTGAAATCGTTAGCCGCTTGCCCGTCTCCACGAATGAGCCCGACTACTCGGTCCTTGCCTACCCTTTATCCATCAAAGACAGTGCGGTACTCTACACGTCGCTAGCACGTTCGCGCAAAACGTGGCTCGACGCCACAACGTTCCAGTTGTACTGGTCAAAGGTCGTGAAGGGCGCCATCGACGAGGCTGGAAACGAGATCCAGAATACAAATGCGCGAGACAAAATGAACAAGTTGTGTGACTGTATGCTCGAACTAGGGCCCCACACGTTTGAAATCAGACTCTTTCTTGTCAAGGACGAGCGATCCACGAAAAAGGAAAAACCCGAGCCACGATTCATGGAGCTTGGGGTGAAGCCAGAGTACGGGTATCACCCAAACGGTCCAATTGTGTATGCACCGGATGTTAAGAGGATCTATCCCCCAATACACCCCATCCCGCAGCCACCCTTTCAAGCACCAAACGCCCAGATAGCCCCGCCGGCCTCTTTAGAGCCCCAAATAACCCCACCGGCCTCTTCAGAGCCCCAGGTAGCCCCTCAAACACCAACCCTGTTGGGTCCCACTGTGCCTAAGACCTCAAATAAGCCGTTTGCAAATCCTCCCAGCAGCGTCCTTCCGCTGAATGCTGCACCGAAGCCCACTCCGGTAACTCCTGTTCCATCACAAACTGATTCTCCTGTACCAGCCCCAGGAATCAAGCAAGCACCACCTGATGTTGCACCACGACCACTGCCGCCCCCAAATGATATCATGCAGACGCCGGAGAATACCATGATGATCAACAACTTGAATGCGATTGCGCGAGTAGATCCTCCATTAAACACATTGATGAAGATTGTTGCCTCGGGTGGCGCCTCTACAGAACAGATCTTGGAGTTTCAAGGCTATATCCAGCGCGCCCGCGACATGGGCTACGGCGGTCTTGCCAATTATAAGCCCCCACCCACCTCTAGCTACCGCCCGATTGGCCCTAAGGGAGGCGCGTTTCCCAAACCTCTGATGAAGATGCCAAAGCTCCCCAAGCCTCCAAAACCACTAAAGGAAGCAAAACCTCCGAAAGAACCGAAAGATGCCAGGCTAAAGGCGCCGAAGACGAAGATTCCAAAGGAGCTTCGATTGACCGCCTTCCAGGAAAAGTACTTGCACGATGCGAACTTAGTATTTGAGTTTGTGGAAAACAGCAATGTCAGGTACTGGTTTCCCAAGGAGGCGATATATGAGATAGTGGCGGGTAGCATGTCTGATCCGATTGATGTTTCCGATTTGCCAGACTTGGACCAAATCAACACCGAGGATGGCGAGATTCTCGTGTCATTCATGGTAATCCACAACAGGGTCGAAGTGGAGGAGTATGAACGGTTGAAGCGTGAGCGTGCGGAGCGGATCAAAAAGAAAGAGGAAGAGAAGGAGCGGTTGAAAAGGGAAGCTGAGGAAGCGAAGTTGAAAGAGGAAATGGAAGCGCAAGAAGCAGCAAAGTTAAAAGAACAGGCCATTACCAACGGCACTGAGGAAAAAGCCACAGATGAGGCTACAAAGGAGGGCGATACAGATGTTGTGACGGAAGAGATTAGGGAGGAGCCCGTGGCTACCAAGTCCCGCAAGCCCTCAGCGAAGAAAGGTGGCAAGGGTGGACGCAGAACCTCCCGCAAAAGAACCAGGTCAGGTCAAGGTGATGCCCTGGACGACGAAGGTGGTTCCAAGGACGATGAAGACGTAGAGCCGGAGCTCATCGAGCCAGATATCAAGTATACCACCATGACCGTTAGATTGTCGAACATCCCTCACCGATTCATTCCGATTGTCGTCAATAGTTTCAAGCCCCAAGCAGACGTGGTGACGCGCATGGAGTACATCTTGGAGCACGGCACGAGAATGCCCAAGTACCAGATGTGGTACCAGCTCGACGGTAAAAGAGATGAGCAATTGGCGGAGTCGCTCCGAGTCTGTCTCAACGAGAATGAAAAACACATGGGGACTGGGAAGAGAAACAAGTACAAGAAGAGAGCCGTCATCACCGCTGGCGCCTCCCAGCCAGTACACACTGGTGACCACGTGGAGAAAATCAAGGTGAATCAACTGGAAACAGTTCTGGGCGATGTTGCAATTACCTCTCTATAGCTCAGACATACCCTGAGGGTTGCATGTCGCATAGGATACGGTTTCTAATGTTTGATTATTATTTTCTCTGTAGGTCCCTAAAACATCAGCCTATATTTAATAACAGTATTGTTATGAGGGCCTAAGGTTGTTCTTGGATATATGAAAGTATAAGGGCCCAAGTTCTCTGTAGAACCTAGTGGATTATTCCTCTGGCCTTCTTTCCGTGTGCCAAATCTGGGTGTGGATTAGTGTGATACATTTCTTCAGGATATTTTCGAGTGGCGTACAATCTTATTTGACAGGTATGGAGGTGGGTCAATAAAGGCATATGGAACGATGAATATGCTTTGTCTAATCGGCCGGGAAGCTTTAACAGCCTCCAGGAATAGTAGTGGTATCTCGAAACAGCTTATGAACCTCGGAAACAGATTCTGTTAGCACACATGACGTTATACCAAATTGTTGACTTTAAGCGACTCGCCGGAAGACGGGATCTTCTCATATAATCTATAAGGTCGTCTGGTCGTACGGCTGCGGCCGTTTGGTAGACTGGCCGCCGGAACGGCGAAAAAAAAAAAGTACGTCTTACAAAGGTTGATGAGAAGACGCAAGCCGCACGTGACGCCAACAATAATCAATTTATTCCTGTGGCTGCTGTTTGAAGGTTTATATAACTTTGTCTGTAGAAGCATAGGTAAATTTTGCGTCCAGAACCATAATTCCCTTGCTCAAATTTGAGAAAACAGCGTCACATTCATTTGTTGTTTAACCGCCTGTTTATCCCTCGTTGCACATCCAGTAGCCTTCATCCCTCTCCCGTCCCACATACATACACCTCCCTACATCACAACCATGCTTGTAGATGATGACATGCCAAACTTTGGCTCTTCAGCATCCTACGTCCACATTCCAACTAACAACCATCTACCACAGCAGGTGTGTCCATCGCTATGGCTAGGCTCGTTAAACGGTAACCAACCCGATGACAACGTGCGACATTCATATGGCGACAACGATTTTTTGGGCTTCAACAATGTCAAAATCATCATCTCTTGCCAGGCGGCACCGGATGCCATTAAAAACATAGCCAGCATTCTCAGCGGCCAGAACAAGAATGCGGAGCAAATGATGTGTTTCATCGTTGATCCACATTTCTCGCCAGACAAGTTGATGCCAGAGGAGTCACTTGATGTGTTGAACTTCATTTCGGAATACCAGCCCAAGTTAAACCAGTTGTATGTTAACTCCATCCCCTCGCATCTCTCTCACGCACCACGCCTTACTAGCCCTATCGTCGCGGCCCATACCACTTCTGAAGCGCTTTTTAAGGTTGTAAAGTTGATTGAGTACATAGGAAGTAAGTTCCCCAGTTACTCTGTCTTGGTTTTGACCGATAAAAACTACCCTGGGAAGTCCCCCTTGGGATCTTTACTGTCGTCGTTGAACTCGTCGTCCTCGTCCGTATCCCTTCCAACGTTTCCGTCCCCTACTTCCTCTCAGTCTTTTACCCAGGACCAACTGGATAACGAGTTGAGTATAGCTACGGTGATGGCCTACTTGTGCTACAAGTTTAATTTGAACATCAACGGGGCATTCGACCATATTTATAGCTCTAGACTCGTTAGCACATCCTACATGGCCCATTCCTTTTCTTCGCCGTACGGCAGTCAGGGTTTCATGACTTTTTTCAAGTCGCCTGAGATTAAAAACGGGATTTACAAGTTTTACGAGGAAAACTTGGCGATAAAGATGTTTGGCAACAATCAAAGAAAGACCGAAGGCCATTTGAAGAGAAGTGGTGGTAGTGCCTCCGACGAGAACAAACGGTCCAAGCGCGAGAGAGAGTAGGATATAATAAATTTCTGTGGTCAAAGATAATCCTCCAGTCAAGGAGTTCCAAAGTAGAGATGTCACCGGTTCCCGGATGGACTTTTTTTAAAAAAAATATGTGCAGTAGCTTACATTTTATTATATATTAAACCATTAACCTGCTGAAGGTTAGTACGTATTTATTCGGTGTAAGCACTGAAGGGACTCTGTTGGGAAGTCTCCCATACCTGGAAACAAAAGAAACTTCCCCATAGGGCAGCTTATCCTGTTGCATACGTTATCACGTGTTCCGTGTATGACGTATCGTGGCACGGGCTAGATCCGGCATCCACTCCACCCAAAACTTGTATTGCTGCCTCCCTTTGTTGAGCTGACCTGTAGACTTCGGGAGTGGACACTCCCGAAACCCTCCGCGGGGTCATGAATAACGTCCGAAAACATAACAATCCTCCGAACCTAATATAAGTACCTTCGACACACATAGGCTACTCAATTGGGTCATATCTACTTTGCAATTCTCTCGATATGTTCTTGTCTCCCTTGAAATTCGCATCTAAGTCATCCGTCGCTCGCCAGGGCTTCAGCGGTGTTTTCAACACCTTCTCCAAGGCTCAAAAGACCCAGTCTCTCTTGAGATCTGCAAGATCATTCCACCAATCCTCCAATGCGAAGCATGCTTCTGTCACGCCCTTGAGATTGGGGTTATTATTTGGGCTAACTGGTTCCACCTATTTCTTGGCCTCCAACAGAGCGGTTTATCACAACGATTTTGCTTCCGCAACCAACGCAATTGTCGACAAGACCGGCAAAGTTCTCAATGAAAACAAGCCAGTGGTCGTTAGACAGCGATTTGGGGGTAAGTTGAACTACCACGAGTTGTCTATTGGTAGCATCACGGGGTTGTTCTTCGGTATCATTGTTGGGAAGTTGTCCCACATTTTGGTTTTTGTGACGGTCTCGGGTTACTTGGGTTTGCAATACTTGCAGAGCAAGGGGATCATCACTTTGCCTACTGTGAACAGGGTGGTCAAGGTAGCTGGCTCTAGAGTGGATGTTGACGACTTGGTCTGGAACAACCAGAGCTTCAAGCTCAGTTTCGTCTCTGCCTTTTTGGTTGCCGCATACAACGTCTAGATCTAATACATTGTTGTGCAATTTGTTGTTCTGTGAATTTCACTTAAAATATCTTTCTTTGTCCCGGCATTGAAGAATAAAATATCTAATGTTTACTCGGCGTGTAGCATAGACTATGGGATGTGTATGGCAAGAGTGATTGCTCGCGTCTAGAGAAGCATGATATTGCATTGGTTATATCAATAAAAACATTCTATACCCTGTTAAAAGGATGAACAGGATATATCCTGACGGAGAAAGGAGTCCCAGCTACCGACTCTTGATGGGTAATTGCATGCAAGGAATACGCGGGGTTATTTCCGAGAACGTGCGGCTCACTCATCCCACTTCGTATCTTTCTACCAGACTAAGATCTTGACAGTGTAGAAAGTTAAAATAAAAGTTAAAGTTAGATGTGATATACGTTGTCAAATTGCCATTCGTCAAAGATTAGTATCTGATCTGAAAAAATTAAGTTGTAAGGGGACTCGGCGGCAGTGTGATACACCATGAACTATACCGTCATTAATAAGCCAAAGAGAATAGTTGTAAGCTTCCAGGGGCCAGAGACATCTGTCTGCGGTGATACCCCTACATTCCGGGAACTAGTGGATGAGGTTGATGATCTACTAGAGGTTGATGATCTACCAGAGGTTGACGTTCTAGAACCGGCGTTCGAAGGTGAAGCTCTAGAACTAGAGCTTGCAGTTGAGCTGGAAGACGATACAACGTCACCTCTCTGGGCCCCTCCCAACGGAAAAACATTCTCCACAAATTGTCCAATGATATTCCCTCTTGGGTAGTATTCACAAACAACATAAGTACCCCAGTACAGGTTACAGTACTTCTTGGCACACCCCACCTGGGTGGTTGCATTCCAAATCAACTGAGTAAAGTGACCCGTAGACTCCGAGAACTCTCCCGCCGTAAAGTTATACATCGATATTTCATCGTACCAGGCGGCAATTGAGCCTACATCTGAGTAGCCGATGGCCAAGTTTTCTCCGTAGGGATTTTCAGAAATGTGACCCAAGTTACTGCCGGCAGAGAATGGTTCAGGGCAAGTGAAGTTATCCGCTCTCAAGGCGGCATACTGAAATAGCGTTTCATTCCAGGTGACATTTGCAACTGCGTGCAACGATCTGTCATAGTTTGTTTCATTCAACACAGCGGTGGCGAAGGATTGGTCTAGGCTGTACGTCGTGGTGGGGGCCAGGAAAACGGTGGAGGTCAGAGCCAAGATAAAGCAGATGAATGAGAAGGATAATCTAGCATTCATTTTGTATATATAATATTTAGGGATAGGCTAACTAGTTATATCTGGGGGTGGATATGGTACTTATTTATATCTCTTGGTGTTCAAGAAATAAATGGTTGAGTATGCAACATCAAAGATTGTTTTAAACGAATATTAGGTTTATTTTTTTAGCTTAACATAGCCTGTTCCGAAGTGTGAGGCATGGCCATTTGCTATAATATCAATTTACTTCCCACAAATACCGTTTTTGTCTAATAACGTGCATTAGTAAACATTAGTAATGTCGATAGCAGTCATGAAATCACTCCCGCTTACAATTAAAGTCTTGGTAAACGCTCCTTTTGCCAGGGTTTTATAAATTTGAAATGACCTATACGTAGGGTTCCCTAGAACGAGCCTCAGTCTAAAGGAAATCTAGTCACCGGTCTGTGTCCGCCTTTGTGTCATCAGCTCAGTGATCTGCTACCAAATATGATGGAAGTAATCTCGCTTAGCAGTGTAATGATGTATTCCAAAAAAACCAAAGATTTGAGGTCAGTTGGCTTACACCGCTATATTGCACAGAATGGGCTGTGCGGTATAGCCTCGTTAGAACCTTGGTATATACGAAAGTTCTTGGATTTTGGCTCTCGCATGCACCTTCTAACACTCTGGATTGAAAGGTGCGTCTTGGCGCCCGGAAAAGCATCGTTGATATAACCTCATACTGCCAAATTAAAAGGTTCTCGGGGCTTATGCTTCATTTCAATAGGCTTATAATATTTGTATTTTAATAGATCAATCGTTTATCTACGGATTTTTATGCTCCTAGTTTCCTCGTTATACCACACGGAATAATGTCCCGGCATCTCATCGCGTTAATATTTTTCGTTTCTTTTTTGTTTGTCTTAAATTTTTTTCTACGGAACAAAAATATTCCGTCAGATTGATACGCTACTAGCACACACACAAAATGCCTAGAAAGAAGTCTGCTTCCAAGAAGGCCCTCGAAGTAGCATCCAAGAAGGTCCCCGCTGCTGTTGCCGCTCCCAAAAAGGAAAAGAAGCAGCCAAAGCAGGAAGAGTATTCCTCTGAATCCGAAGACTCAGTCTCTGAAGATGAGGACGAGTTTGGTGAATTAATTACCAACGACGTTGAGTCGGGGATTTCCGAGGTTTTGACCGCAATCAAGCTGAAAGATCCAAAGTTATTTGATCCGAACGTCAAGTTCTTCGAAGACCCTGAGAAGGCGGTCCAGAAGATGGGCGCTAAAAAGGAGTCACACAAGCCAATGTACTTGAAGGATTATCACAGGATGAACTTGTTGACCGGTGGGGATACTTACGAGGAGGAGGAAATCGATATGCCAATGGAAAAGACCTACGTCCAGCAGCAGGCCGAGGACAAGGAACAGATTTTGTCTGAAATCAAGAACGCTTTCGGCGGGGACGAAATCGAGGAAAGTGACGACGAAGATTTTTTGAAGAAGAAAGCGCCGCTCACCAGAGCGGATCTCATTGATGCTGAAAGGATGCACCCATCCAGAAAGCTCGCGTTGCCAACCCCTGAAGGTGAAGGAGACCAATTCTTGGATGCCTTTATTGGCTCCACCGCCTGGATCCCTCAGAAGGGTGATAAGATGATAAACTTGGACAAGAGAGAGGGCGACGAAGACGTTGAAGACGATGAAGAGTTTGATGATGCCGTGGATAACTTTGAAAGAGTGTACAATTTCCGCTATGAGGACTCTAGCGCTGCAGAGATTGTCAGTTACGCCCGTACCCAGGCCACTTTGAGACGATCCAAAACTAATTCTCGTAAGAAGGCCAGAGAGCAGAAGCATGAGGACGCCAGAGTCGAAAAGGAGAAGAAGAATGAGGCCATCACCAAGAAGAAAAGTATCAAAGTCAACAAGGTGATGGACAGATTGAAGCAGATCAAGGAGGCGGTCGGCGATGAAGTTAGCGACGAAACCATCACCAGAGTGTTTGGTGACACCTTGATGAAGGACGATTACGACGAGGCCGAATGGGATGCCAAGATGACCGAGATTTTCGACGAACAATACTACAACGACGACGGTGCCAAACCTGAGTGGAGCGATGACAGCGACATGATGAACGATGAAAGTGAGGTGGAAGCCTCCGGTAAGCACAGCACCGAAGATGCTGAAGACGGTCCAGTCCAAAAGAAGTCTAAGAAGGACAAGTTGAAGGACAAGAAGGCTAAGAAGAAGGAAAAGGAATCCATCAAGGATACTGCCGAGAAGATTGTCCTCAAAAACACCCCGCAAATCATCGACGAGGTGGAGGAAGAGCAGGAAAGAAAGAGAGGCAGATCCATCACCGACGACGTCAAGTTCAAATACCGCGAAGTTTCTCCCGATTCATTCGGTTTGACCTCCAGAGAGATATTCCTTGCGGATGACAAGGACTTGAACGACTTTATTGGCTTAAAGAAGTTTGCTCCATACAGGCCTAAGGACCAAAGAATGAAGGACAAGAGAAAATACGCAAAGGCCAAAAATTTGAAGGAATGGAGAAAAAGAGTTTTCAAGAACGAGAATGGGCCCCCAGAAGACCAGTAGGTCGTATATAGATATAGTATTTGCACATTAATTCTATTTCATTGTAGGGTGCGCTATTTAGGCTGGGCTTGGGTGATAAAAATTGGTCGTGTCAGTACCATAATCAATGGCATTTTCGGGCAATATTGCTTACAAATAAGTTGCCATCAATCACCAAGTCTAGAGGTTGATATAACCATTATACACCTCGCTATTATATAGACTGGCCATTATACACCTCGTCATTACATATCTCGCCATTAAACACCTTGCCATTATACACCTCGCCATTATATACGCTGGCCATTACAACACTTCCACATAGACAACAATGTCCGCTATTTTACGACCAAAGAGATCAAACTTTACATTCAAGTTCCTGCCTTTCCTCAAGTCAGAGTACGACCTCACAACAGACCCCGAAAGACCCATTTGCCAGTTCTACGATGGAAGAAACATTAATTCATGTCCTAATGGTTTGAACTGCGAAAACAAACATGTTTCCTCGATGTTCAGCAACAAGGTGGTGTGCAAGCATTGGCTTCGTGGCCTCTGTAAGAAGAACGACAACTGCGAGTTCTTGCATGAGTACAACTTGAGAAAGATGCCTGAATGTCTATTCTTCACAAAGAATGGGTTTTGCACTCAGGGCAATGAATGTTTGTACAGACACATTAACCCGCAGCTGAAGATTCCCGAGTGTCAGGACTTCAACCTTGGATTCTGTCGGTACGGTCCACAATGTCCGCGCCGACACGTCAAAAGGGAAATATGCCCCTTGTATTTGTTTGGTTTCTGCCCTGCGGGTCGGGAGTGTGATAATGTTCATCCGAAATTCAATGTCTCGATAGACCGGTTGAGAATCAAATCTGATACAGTAAGGAGGGTCGAGGACAGCAACCAGAATAGCTCGCTGGAGGTTGAGGAACAAGGTATGGATATTGATCGCTAGTAGAAAATCATGCATACTGATTGTATGTATGTGGAGACTGAACGGTATTAGGCACATCTGTCTGGTGTGCATTTTCCGGGTCAATTCTAAATGTCTGTGATATATTCATATGATGGAATTCCATTGTACGGCACAGCTTTGAAGAAACATATATAGTCTAGTATAATTATCAATGGATATAAATAAGTACAAATTTTCTCCCTACTGTAAAATGACATCACAATTCAGCATCCACGTACAAGTTTCAGCATGCGGCTTTGCTCACATAGCGCAAAATTTTTAGGTATTTTTTTTTTTTTCATGCGGGCTGTGAGCCGTAAGGTGGACAGAGATCAGAGTAACAAAACCGTTTCTCTGCACTTTCTCAAGCTTAGTACCAGCCTTTTCATATTTTCCTCCAAACCTTGTGTACCACGTTTCCGACATTATCAGCCAAGGTTTGACGTTTTGAAAAAGTTTATTATCCCCACTTTTTCTGATTCCGTTTCTAGTCGTGTGATCTATCTACAAGGGCTTGCATCATTCTCCACACCATTTTATTCTGTTCTTTGGTCCCTTTTTGATACTATTCCAACGTTAAATATGTCCCAAGTTAACGATAGAGGCAGAGTCTCTGTTTCCCCATCAGATCCGATCACTGTGCGCTTCCAACAAGCTCGCCAGGCCCGTATGCAACTCGATTTGTACAAGATCTTTGACCTGGAACACGACATGGAATTCTGCCCGCTTCCACTTGAAAAGCACTATCCCCAAGCGTACTACCCTAGCGCAGGCCAACCACGCTATCATTCTCCAGCCAGCACTGCGGACCGTAAGTTGTTTAGTGCGATCAACGGGGCCGTGGCATCTCCAAAACCCTCCCACCAACATCCTCATGCGGAGCCTTCGCAGCAACAGGGTTTCCAGCATGCTCCTTTTGGTACTCCGGGAACTAACAATCGGGTGGCTCAACTTCAGCAGCTCTCGGGCGGTAACGTCAGCGGTACTGCTCCTATTAGATCAGTCAGCTCGCCGTTTGCCAGCAGCAGCTCGGCTCCACCCGGTATGAACCAGTTGTTTAAGTCTCAGTCGCAGCCTCCAGCGGAGCAGCCCCAATACTATTCTCCGCAAGTTGGTAACACTGGGTTACATCCTAACGATGCCTCTCAACCTCAGCAGCACAGTTCCTTGTTGAGCTCTCAACTACAATACCAGCAACAGCAACAGCAGCGTATTAGAAGCGAACTTCAAACTCGTCTTGTCATGTCCACACCGCTCACTCGTTTCACCAATAATGTCCGTTAAACCCCCCTTGTACATCAGAATAAACACACAGCCATAGTATCTTTCCTGCATTTTCCTTCCTTCTCCTTCACCGTTTCTTTAATCCTCTAATCTTTCTTCGCATACACTTTTTTTTATGTTTCTCACAGAAAAACTAATTGGTTGGATCTGGATGTATACATTTCATCTTTTCTCTCTAATTACTGACCGCTCTACGCGGTGGTTACCGTCAACACGATCTATAAAATTAAAAAAAAAAAAAAAAAAAAAAAAAAAAAAAAAATTTTTCTTAGTATACCCCCTTGTGTATGTTGTGTGCTCAAAAATTTAGTTACAAAAATACAGACTGTCCCAATAACACGGTTTTTATGTCTCGTAGCGTTCTAAAAACATTCTTATACCGTATTTATAAGACTAACTGGCAATGTGCAGGCACATGTCAAGAGGAACAATCACATGCTGCTGGATGCATGCGCCGTGTCCAATTTCACCAAGAACTATTCAACGATCGATCAACTAATCATCCCAGGATCACTCTCCAAGCTTTTTTTCTATACACTGACGCTGCCTTACATCTCCTATTCCGATGCCCCCATTACTTTGCATGATCGCCTTCAAGAACCAAGATTTCTTCTTATAACGATGCACTACACTCGAGTTTCTTAGGCACAAAAGGCCCAGTAGTGTAAATCTAACCTGTATCACCCTACTACATAGTCGGATGTTCAGCCGTAAAAAAAAAACTCCGTGTTTAGTCCCTGGTTGCCCCACAATGGCCCTGGCTCTCTTACCCTTCTGGGAATCCTGCACGTGCCCTGGCCACAATTCAGTCACTCCGCACCTCTGCATGTATCCTCCCATTAGTATCCCTTGCTTCCAAATGTTTTTCTGTCCCGACATCTAGCTTAATTTTCACGGCCAGTATAGCATATAAAAGACTCTTGTCTACCCTGAAGCTGCTCATTCTACAAGTCATTTTGTTTCTGGGGCCATGACATTAAAAGAACGTTCCACTACAGAGCCATCGGCTGCCTCTCGCTCAAGACGGGAAAATGTTTCCAGCTCCGCTTCGAGCTCCGCCTCTGACTTTGCCCGCCCTCCCCCGCAATCTTCAGACAGCTTCAGCGACACAGAATCGGTTGGGGGACTTGAAATTAACATCAAGGGCAGAAATATCCGGTTTGCGCCGATGAACACACCGCTGCACAGACGGTGGCAGACGCTTGCAGTCTTGTGGCATACGTGTACGATCCCATGTCTCACTTCACTCTTCTGTTACATGCTCGCTATTCCGTTCATGTGGCCGTTTATTGGGATCTACCTCATCTATTTCCTCTGCGACCAGACACCATTCAATGGCAATGCTGCGCGGCGCTACTCACCGCGCGTACGTGGTTTGCCCGTCTGGCGGAGCTTTGTGGAGTACTTCCCGATCCGAATCCACAAGACCGTTGATTTGCAACCCACCTTCACCCAAAAGTGGGTGGAAGACGAGCCAGAAACCAACTGGTTCAAGCGCGCGTTGAGAGGGGCAGTGAAGAAGCCGTTTGAGAAGCGGGTTAAGACAGGCCCCCGCTACATGTTCTGCTACCATCCGCACGGTATCATCTCCATGGGGGCCTTTGGCGCAATGGCGACCGAAGGAGCCGGCTGGTCAAAGGCATTTCCTGGCATTCCTGTCTCCCTCTTGACCTTAATCAATCAGTTCAAGTTGCCGTTGCTCCGCGATTATATCATGGCGCTTGGCTGCTCCTCCGTGGGGAAGCGCAACATGACGCGGATCATTCGCGACCACAACCAGTCTGTGTGCATCGTTGTGGGCGGTGCCCAGGAGAGTTTGCTTGCGCTGCCCCACTCTAATGACTTGGTGTTGCGGAAGCGCAAGGGCTTTATCAAGTTGGCGTTGGACTTGGGTGATATCTCGTTGGTACCGATCTATGCCTTTGGCGAGAACGAAGTGTATGAGGTGAACAAGGCCACACGCGGCTCGTGGATATGGAAGTTCCAGAAATGGACCAAGAAGAACTTTGGTTTCACAGTGCCATTGTTTCATGCCCGTGGCGTGTTCAACTACTCCATGGGGCTCATGCCGTTCCGCAAGCAGATTGACTTAGTCTACGGCAAGCCGATTGAAATCCCCTTCAGGCCATCGCCTACTCGCAAGGAGGTTGAGTTCTACCACGACTTGTACGTTAAGGGGTTGGTCGATTTGTTTGACCAAAACAAGGCAAAGTACGGTGATCCAAACGCTGTGCTCAGCCTTGTGGAGTAGGGGTCTCAGCTGAGTCAATGAGCACTATTTGAAGGAGATGATTTGATATATGCGAGAGGTATACTTTAGTCTTTTGTACTCCGTTTACTCTTTATATCTTGCCTGTATAAACTAGTCTAGTATGGCTTAAAGTATGATAGCTCTAGATATAACACAAACCAAAATTCCGATTCGTCCCAGTATATGTATCTCTATCGCGCATGTGTAGGTATGTCTAATTGGGCATAGTGTCTATTAGACAAACATACCAAGGTTCTCTCGGAGGTTAGAGGCCCGTCTGAAACACTCGTATGTCTTCAACATTTGAACTGCGCCAGGTACTTCTCCATCCAATGAGTCCAGGTTTCAACCGGGTACACTTCAACTATATTTTCCAACCTTTAATTCAAAAAAATTACATCATTGTTCTGATCCGAACTCTATGTGGATAAACAGGTCCACCATCCAGATATTCGTTACCTTCTCATGGGGATGAATCACAACTGTTCATCCCACACCCCATCCGTGGTTTGTAGAGTGTGTTTAGACCGATAAGACCGGGTTACCACCCTTGACTACAAATATTTCTATCTCATTGATTATCTATACCTATTCCATTATCTAACCCTCATACACAAATCTCCCTTCTAAAGCCCACGCAAATACAAAGCTTTTCGACAATTGAATCAATTATAAATCCTTGTCTCATCTCGGTACTACATTGGAGAGATGTTCTCCTGGTCTTCACTCATCGGATAGTCCTTTGTCTCGCTCTTCAAGTCAGGGATACCTGCCATCGCCAGCCGCGTCACACCCTTATAGTTCAACAGTTTCGGCTGCAATGAATCACGGAGCATATTCGATGACTTCAACGCCTTGATTATCCGCTCCTTGTCCTTCAACTGGTCACGCAAACTGGTCAACTCCTCGGCTTGTTCGTTGATGGTCACTATCGCTTCGCTCGGGTCAGAGACCAGGGCCCTGAATCGGTTGGGCGTCCGTGGAGGCTGCATGGGCAGCGGCGCTGGTTGCGTCTCCTCCTCCTGACGGTGGCGGAGAGTCTCCGACCGGTACAACTGGTTCTCCAAATGCTTGATATAGCTCTTGCTCTCGTCCACGTGGCGTGCCTGCTTGGTGAAGATCTCCTCCAATTTGATCATAAGCTCGGACGTGCGGTCATCCTCACCCGCACTGTGCCGCAATGTCGTGAGGAAGTTCAACACGTCATTCTTAACGATGATGTGCTCGGCACGGTCAAGCTCCTCGATCCGCACCAAATGCTCGACCCGCTCCGTCAAGATTCTGTTTTCCGCCTTCAATTCTGCGACGTCCGCGCCACCAGAGAAGCCAGACGGCGATACCGAGCGTCCACTCCTCAAGCCCGCAATCTCGCTCTTTTGCTTCTCCACCAACGCTGTCAACGTCTGGATAATGCGCGCGGTAGCCTCGGGATCGGCCACCGCCGATTCGTTCTTCATGGCATGTAACACCACGTTCTTGGCCCTAGCCGCAAACCGAAGCGTGTTGACAGTCTCCGCTTTGGCGTTGATCGTAGTCTGAATCGTGCAAAGAACACACACAAGGGAGTCACCGCTTAACGCCGGCTGCAAAAGGCGCGTCAACTTCGACTCACGGTACGGAATGTGACCGGCAGACACCGATGAGGAGAGCTTGGAAATGACGTTCGAGAGCGTTAGCAAGGATTTATTGATGAAGGAACCTTCTTTGCGGCGCTCCTGCTGTGCGGTCGCTTTTTCGCTCCCCGCCAAATCACATAAGGAGAGGGTGGAGAAAGTTTCCTTTCCGTCCGCGCGGCACGTGATGCGCAAGAGCACTACGGCGTGTGAACGCGACGAGTGCGCGTTAAAGTCCGTCGCGCTCGTCTTGCGCGCCTGATCGCCGCGCTTGATGATGCGCATCAACTCCGTCTGGCTGCTGACCGGCACCTCCTGCAAACCCACGACTCTCACTCCTAAGACCGCGTCATCGCGTATTTTCAAGTCGGGGGCACTGGTGGCGCCAGCTGCGGTGTCTAGCGCGAGCAAATCGATCAACTTCTCGTTGTAAATCTCCAAGTATGAAACGCACACCTTATACTCTTTGGTAGCATCGCGCACGATGTGCCCAAAGATCTCCGCGATTGAAAGCGGAATCACCCCGGGGTGCTCGTCGCTACCCTGCATAGACCACGTCTTCCCGGAGCTTGTCATGCCGTATGCAAAAACGGTTCCGTTGAAGCCCGACATTACTTTCTGGATTATTGGCTGCACACAGGACGTATACACCTGTGCATTTGTCACGGCTGGGTCAAGCACATGATCGTACAGAAACTCGCCAATATCCGGGTACGCAATCACATTGAGACTAGAGTCAACATACCACCGGTCATTCCCCGCGGCACCGGGTACCGTTGGTTTGGGTCTGATCGCTACATTGATTGTGCCTATGTACTGCGGCGCTGAATAGTTGGCATAGCTGGAAAGCGGTGTCTGCGGGCGGAACGTTGAGAGCGATGATCCGGGTCTGCTGCGAATAGGTGAACCCGTACCCGACCGTGTCGGCGTAACGCTGCCGCTTTGGTTGCGGTTGTACGATGGTGGCGCTAGGCGAAGGCTTGACAGGTTGTTCGAGGAAAGCGAGAGCGACAGCGACGGTCTGCGTCGCTGTGAGTTCGAAATGGACGAGAAACGCGTCGGCGTGGACGTCGGTGGATCAAACATAAAGTGGAGTTATTTTGGTCTGGGAAAAGCTTTGGGTAAACAAGATACCGGGCGTATTGGTTTGCGCTGGTTATGGGATTGGTATAAGGAATAAGGCGTTAATATCACCAGACGGTGGTTGACTGTATGAGTGGAGTGGTTGGTATTAGGCGGATGAAACGGTAAATAAATCCGTATATTAGGTACGTATATGGTTTATTGTTTGTAGGTGTTACAGTAGTGACATGTAACCGATGTATTTCCATTCTGTCGGATTGTTTACGTTTTTCGCATATCCGTTGGGGCTATCTCTGCTTTCTGCGCATTCGCGAACTGACGCCAGGTGCGTTTCGTGCGGCGATAGCGACAATGACTGTTTACAGTGACGTAGGAGGGGGGGGGGTATTTATGCACCAAGCTATGAGTGGTTGCAGTCTTCCCCAGAGAATGGGCTGTTAGGCCTTATCCTACTCGATAGAGTACTGCCTCTAGGAACACTCAGAAAATACAAGAGGTATGAAAGTCCGACACCTTTCTAATACTAGCGTCAATTCGAGTTCTATTCTCTTGTGACTGGTCCCTCACTAAGATCTATTAAACTGTCACTAAACTCTGCAGTTTTTAACCGACACATCCTAGGGTTACTTGATTCGTAGTTTCTCTCGTTCAGTCCTAGTAATACCTTTTCGGAACGGCATCTAAGAGGCCATGCTCGAACCAGCACTTATTAACACGATGTGGCATCAAGTCTGGAAATTCAGATGCAATACTAGCCTCTAGGATCTCGAATGGAGCCATCGGCTATACATGAGATCGGTCTTTAAATATCGGTCAACCCTTTCTTGCCCGTGGGACTTGTGGTTTACCAGTTTTAGCACTAACGTCTTAGACTGGACAGCTAAAAGAGAAAAAAAAATCCACACCGATTCCACTTCTCTACTTACGTTCCACCGCTAGGGTTTCTACAGGGTATTTGAGCAAAAGATAAAATTCGGGGCATATAACATATAAAATAGAGAAAACCAGCGTACACACCAGTGAGCTTTAAGAAACGATCTGCGCACTTTTATAAAACAGTCCCTTTCTAAACGGACTTGGCCAAACCGACCGCGTTCTTCTCCAAGTCGTAAATGGAGTAGTACTTACGCAAGAAAGCATCACCAATGATCGCCAATGGACCTACTGGGGCCGGGAAATCCATGCCGGTAAACGCAGAAATACACGAACCGGAAACCTCCAAGGTGTAATCGTATGGAGAGATGGTAAAGTTGTACCCGGAGAAATTAAAGGTCAAGTCTGGCAAGGTGTCACGAGAGGCACAGTCAACGCTGTACTGGCCGGTCCAGCCCTTCTTTGCACCGATCTGCGCGTTCAAGATTTCTGCCAACCCAGATGGCAAGGCAATCAAGGAGGTACCGGTGTCGATAGCAGCACCGTGGCCCTCCAAGGAGGCGTACTCATTGCCCAACCCAATACCGTCAAAGGAAACCTCCCAGTACGCCTTTCTCCTGACTGGCAACCAAGTGATCTTTCCGGTGTAGTACTGGTCGTCGTAGCCACCGAAAGTGGCAACACCGCCCTTATCGGCGTCCTTGTTGGTGTCACCCAAATAGAAGGCAAATTGCTTCTTGTCCAACAAGCCCTGGTCGATGGCCTGATATACCGGTGGAACCGCATGGCCGACAGAGATGGTGTCATAGGCCAAGCCCAAAATACCGTCAAACTTACCAAAGGCGAAAGCCAAGCCTGGCTCGCTGGTGGCCTCGGCAAAACTCTGGTTAGGAATGACCAAGTCACCCAAGGTCAAGGTGTCACGGGAGAAGTATCCACTCAAAGAGCCGGAACCGTACTGGATAGAGAACTCGGTACCGTTCTCCTTGTAAGAAGAGGAGGAGCTGTGGTCGTACTTGGCGTGCAAGAAACAGGCCAAAGAAGAGCAATCAACCGATGGGACCCACAAGTTGGAAGACCCGGTGTCTAAAATAACCTTAAAGGTCTGGCCAGGCGTACCAATCTGAATGTCGGTAAAGTACTGGGCGTTCAAGTAGTTAGTCAAGTCGGTGTCGTGGCCACCGTTGACCTCAACCAATGGTACCTGCTCGGCGCCCAAGATGGCGTTTTGTTGGGTGACGTGGCGGTTGAACTGGTTGATGTACTTGTTGGTAAGGCCATGGACATACTTACCAAAGTCGGCGTCCTTTAAGGTCTCCTCAATCGGCACCTTGGAGATCTTGGCGGAATGCTTGCCAGCTTCGGCGGTAGAGACCAAAGTAAGCGCAATGGCGGTTAAAATAGAGAATGAGAGCTTCATGGTTGTGCACGTTTCAAAAAGGTGTATACACTACGGATTGAGTGTAAAGGTAACTGTAGTGCGAGGAAGAAGTTATATATACTCGGAACCGTGCGGATTAAAGTGGCGGGAAAGTAGATAAGAGGGGGCGTGCAAGGTTGCTGAGAGTGTGTGACTCCGTGTAGGATATCGACAAAAATTTCTTTTTCTAGTGTGGAGATTGCGCCAGGGGTCTGAAGCGTTGTACTAGATCGGCTGCTGGGGGTGATTCAGATTTTATGGTCTTACTTGATCAGGAGCTGTAGGTAGCTAATAGATAGATAAAGATTTCCGAGACCGAGAGAAAGAGAAGGGAAGGAGAAGAAGGAGGGAGGTGGCGATATTTATAGACCAAAAAGAGTTTAATTGACAGCTTTGCTGCGCAAAGTTAGAATAGACGTTCTCCTCTTGCAGAATAGGGGCCCGCTGGGTCTGCCTGTGGCTCTATGCGGCTGCGCAATGACGCAGAATCCCGTCTGGACTTTGCATCGATAAGTACAAAGATATCTAGGATGATGCAATTAGCAGGTATTTCTATTCTATTTAACCGAGCTTAAAGGAATATATGTGGTATTGAGGCTGCGATAATTAAAACTAAACCGGGACTATATTTTAGTGATCCATACATGGAACTAGCGTCGAGAGCCATATGGGTGCAACCAGGGCGGTGTAAACGGTCGTACACGAAACCATGAAAAGGGTATCCGATATGTTAGGAAAGAAACATTGGAGAATTGGCATCTGAACCACATTCACAATCTCATTAAGTGACGTTTTCCCCTGGCGTATAATTGAATCATTTCCCGAACAGGAGGGTTACCGTTTGACGCTCTAGGACTGTGCCGACTGGAAAAGATCTTTACAATGTTAATTGTAAATCATAATTATACCTATGTACCAAGATGTATTCAGACTATAGAGTGAACAAAGCAAGAATATAACATCTAAGTCTCGACGCTTCATCTTGGTCATCAATGTATCCACGCATCTGCGGGCTTCTCGAGATCGCTCTTCAAATCCGCGCGTTTCACAACCCTGGTCTCCACCTCGGGTGCCCGCCGCTTCTCTCCGTTCTCAGATGTTGGGGCAGTCGGGACCATGGCGGTTTCAGGAGGGAACCTAAGCACAGGCAAAACCTTTTTATCCGACGGATCCTGTGGCACAACATGCTTTGGCGGTTCCTCGAGCTTTACTGGCACAGGGACCGGGAGCTGGGATGCATCGAACATGTGGTCCTCCGTCTCGACGTCCAGACGCTCACCGCCATTGAATAACCCGGTACCATCATTGATACACACCCGGAACCCGAGCATCTGGTGCTTTTGCTTGTCGTTGAACAAGTAGATCATGTCACCATCAAAGATCTTGGCCTTCTTTCCCTTACCGATGCGCAGCTGGTTGATAAAGCACGAGTTGGTGGAGTTGTCGATCAACCAGACGTCATCAAGGCCCATTGCGGGCGACTCGAAGATGTTGGTGTTGGTTCCCGTGGGGTGGCGCTTCTTGGTTATTCCACAATGGATCTTTGACATACGATCATCGGTGATGGTGACATTGCACTTGTCGCTTCGACCCACCACAAACGGATTCATTCCCTGGAGGATATGGATGGGCTGGTGTGGAATCGACTCGGATAAGGGCTGGAGCGTAAGGTAGGTCCCGGGCGGAGTGGAATGCGGAGCGTCCCCGGGCACCCCGTTTCTGGAATAACGGCGAGAGGAAGTCGCCATCGAAAGGGAGTGAAAAGAGGGTGGTTCTAATCCGGGAACAGCCGAAAGTCGCGGTAAGTCTTCTTCCGGGCCAATCTTCGACGTGAATCTCTCGGATCTGAGGGGGGACCGAATTGGGGAACGGTTGGGCGAGCCGTGTTCGGCCTTTGGCGTGGACTCCGCTTGTGGGGGGATAGATGCGAAATCTGTCTCCAACGGAAATGGGCCCCCGTCGTTCGATTTTATCGATACCGCTTCACTTCGGTCTGTCCCTAGAATTTCCTCGCTTGGGGAAACTTCCTTCGCTTCACCCTCCACCATCTCACCCCCTACCTCATTCTTTGCCACATCCAGTTCCTTCGGAGCCTGATTCTTTTCCACCGCATTTTCCTTCGGTATCTTCTTCGGCATCTTGAACACATTCTCCCCATCCGCAAACACCAACGGCTTGCTAAATTCCCCCCGCTGCGACTGCTTGTGTTGTGACTGCGACTGCGACAAGCTCACCACCGAATCATTCTCGTTTACGATCCACGGGTGTTGCAATGCCTGAGTGGCTGTGATCCGCTCCATCGGATCCACCTTCAACAAGCTCTCTAAGAAGCCACGGCCCGGGCCAGAAACCCCGTGCTCCGTGAGCAACGACTGGTGGTACACCCCGCTCTTGATCTGCTTGAACAAGTCGTCCTGGGTCAGCCCGCTGAAGGGCAAGTGTGCCGTGAGAATCACAAACACCAAGCATCCAAGCGACCACATGTCCACCAACGACGAGTAGTGTTGCCGCTGCGCCTGCGGCTGGATCCCCTTCCGTCTGGCCGGCTTTTTTCCCAGCACAATCTCCGGCGCCACGTACGCGAGCGTACCACAGAACGTTTTCATGAATGAGTTCTGGTCGGACACCTTTGCCAAGCCAAAATCCGTGATCTTCACCTGCACCGGGTCGTCCAGCATGATCAAAATATTGTCCGGCTTCAAGTCACGATGCGAGATGCCCAATGCATGGACATACTCGATCGCATGAAGAATCTGGCGTGCGATCTCGCGCGCGGCCTCTTCGCCTACCGCACCGTGCGCCGCCACAAAATCCATCAAATCGCCTCCAGGCACAAACTCGATCACGAGGTAGTAGTTGTCCGCGTCTTCGTACGATGCCTGGAGCCTGACAATCCCCGGATGGTCCAACTTCTCCAAGATTGCCAACTCGCGCGCCACGATTGCGGTTCCGCCTGTCGTGAGCACCTTGCGCTTATTAATAATTTTCACCGCATACGTCTTCCCCGTTGCGCGCTCGATCGCCTTTTTCACTGTCGCAAACGCGCCCTGGCCCACGATTTCCTTGCGGATGATGTAGTGTCTGTGGATTCCCTCGTCTGCAGTCCGGGTTTTAGGTGGTTCCACCGGATTTGGGTTGAACACCACGATAAAGCGGAGCACGTCCTCTGGAACCCCCACCCCGACCGCGATCTCATCGCCTTGGTTGACAATGTAGTTTGTTCCTTTGACCATCCGTGTGTTGTTTATGTAGGTGCCGTTGGTTGACACGTCTTGGAGCATCAAATTGCGGTCTGTGAGCGAGTACCACGCCTTGAAGTGGTGGTTCGAAAGCCGCGACGACCCCTTCGGAAGCGGGAAGTCAGACCCCGCGTTGCGCCCAAACGTCCACTCTGCCGTTTCCCTGGCCGGACTCGGGAGCTGCAAGTCGAGAAATTTCAGCTGGCCCGTGGTGCAGAGAAACCGCGCCACCACGCTGGGATCTGCGAGTTCCGGGGCCTCAAGACCCTGTAACTGCGTAGGCTGTGTCTGTGTGGGCTGTGTTGGTTCGACAGGAGATAGGTCCATTGTGTGAGAATTGAATCAGGATTGCGTTCACTGGTGGCCAGATGTGAAAGTGCGGCCTAAGGTGGGTGGTTGGCGGCACTTGATGGCACTCGGTGATTGAAAGTGGGTAGGTGCAACGTTTCGGGCTGCTTCAGCTGAAATTTTATTGCTGTATAAATGGGGCCTGTGTCGGTAATCGGTGGCAATCCTCGTAATTGGCAGATATTCCTAGATGTGCTGTGACGGTCTATGCTTGCACTGAAGGAGATCAGAGACGTTTTTTTCCCCTACAGGACACGAAAAACGCGTAGCTTTTCCAACTTTCCGTGCGCTTGGACGCGTGCGTTCTGTGGGAATTAGTTCGTACTCACGTGATATTGGGGTAAACACAAAGCTACCCCCGGTTGAATGTTTGATTGAGAATGTATTTATCCGTTAAATTGGGTTAGAGTAGAATAAACCATTCAGCCGAAACTCTATCCAAGGGGCCTGGTTTGGACTAAAGGCCATTATGATAACGGTAAACGGCAGGAGGTGAACTTACCCAACCGATGATGACGAAATCCTTGTACATCTTGGTGTGGTGATTGAATATAGTTTCGTCAGTATCATTTAAAATCATGCATTATATTCGTAAAGTATTTGTCTCGTTGGTTTTAAATAGCTCAAATGTTCATTTGACCGTATATTCTGCAATCCTGGTTTCTAAACAGGAACCCGTTGTACGGGTTTTGGTACTCTAGCTGTTCACCTGCCTTATTAACAGTAACTTCCATCTTCTGGATCACTGTTTTCTGCCCTATCAGTCATAAATGGAAACACTACCCCGTTACACCTCCGTCTCTCCCTGCCCAAAACCATTTGGCGCATCGACCCCTCGGACATCTGGGTCCTTCTATTGGCAAGAAACTCAGGATCCATATTTACCAATCTTGCTAACGACAAGGAGGACGGTTGCACGCAAAGGTACTTCCGTGCAAGCTTTGCTAGGGCTTGAAAGGAGCTTGAGTTGTCCCTCCACCATTGCATGACACCTTCCGGTGGGACCCTCTGAACTGGTTGCAGGAGATACAAGTCGAGCTCATCTTGCTTGGTTGGATTGTGATAGACGGGGAAGAGGTCATCCTCATCGTCGTCACAGTTGAAATCCGACGCGAACATGTCGCAGGGCTGAGTAGCATATGATTTTCCACACTCATCCCTAATCGTCTCGGAAATCTCCCGGATAAGCGCCTGAGCAACGTGACTTTCGTGGTTGGCCTTAATGACATCAGTTTTGAATCTTGGGTCGAGAAGTGATGGAATCAAGAGCAGTTTATAGTTCTCAACATCAGTGAAGTAGGTATTAAGTGGTCTAAAGGCACGTCCCAACGATTCGAGTACTTCCTTATTGACATTTCTTAAGCTGGGAAAGGATATCTTTGTATCAGCCGTAACTTTCTTTCCGGAAAGTGAAACTGCGTCGGTACAGATATCAAAAATCAAATAGTGCAACCTCAAGGCTTCGCCAATTCCCGAATTTGTAGCAGTGGTCGACTTAAAAATCTTGTTGAATGTCGAAAGAATCTGTTTCACCTGTTTCACCAAAAGCCAGTCGTGATCAGACAACATGTAATGTGCCAAGTCAACCTCCTCCAGGGCGATCCTGTTGTATAACTCCCTCAACTCCAGAGCTTGGCTCAACATTTCGAAAGTGGCTTTCCAGTCTCCTCCATTATCCATGTCACACCCAATCAATCTAGAAGCTGATGAAATCCATAAATGACGTAAAGGTAACAGTATCCTAATGGTTTTAGCAAAGCCCCTGATTTTGCTGATCGGACTGTTTTGGGCTGGATTCCCAAAAGTGGCATCAAAGTTGGAAAGAAATTTCTTAGAAAGGTGAGAGGCTACGGAGCTCAAACAAAAAACCCTACCGCTTGAACCTCTACCAAACCCCAAACCATCCATAAGCCGTGATTTCACAGACTTAGGGGAGTCGTCCAGGATGTTCGGGGTGACATCCACAGTGATACTGCATACTTTTTCACTAATTCCAAACTTTTCAACCAAGTGAGAATACCTCTCAAAGATGTGTTTCTCCATACAGAACGCTTCTGTCTCACATTCTCCCAGATTTAGGTTTCGGCTGATAAACGGAGCATTGAAGTCAAGAAGTCGCTCGCTTTTCTGGAAATTGGAATCAATAAAAGCGGCGGTGATGCTATAGATTCCGTTCCCAGTCTTTCCCGTATGAAGCTCTACTGAAAGAGAAACGTACGCAACGCTACCAAGCGCCTTTTTCAACCGTTCAAAGTGTGACATTCCCTCGTGCCGTATTGCCCTAACCATAACGTTCTGGTCAGCGGATCCTGGAAAAATGGTTCGAAGCAGCTTGAAGGATTGAAAGTTCCACATATCTGGAACTTGAAGGAAAAGGTCAACCAATTGTTCCTCGCCACCCAACCTTGCGGCCCCTTCTCTAAATTCGCCCGGAGTTTTAATCTGCTGCTCCAAAACGGCAACGTCGCGATATATCACTGGCAGAGGAAGCAAAATCAGGGTATCAGGGGATGGAGGTGCCTGAGTGACTCTCGGGCGCTCATACGTCTCACTTGTATGGAATTCCAGACGTACCACCACCTGCTTTTTAGTAACGGAAGGGTGAAGCAGATTCAAATGCCGAGATAAATTCGAGGTTGATCCGTGGAGGTTTTCTTTCAACTTTTGCCAATCACAGTGGCTACACTTGACCCAAGCAACGCCCTTTATGATAGGGGTACTGAAGTGAAGCCACACTGGGGACGTCTTACGTTTTCCAGATGCTGGCTTAGCTTTGGAATAAGCGTGAGAGGTTAAAGGGGTCAGGTTTGTGCCCCCCTTGGAGAGGTTTCGCAATGACGTATCAGGTGTCAATGGGTAATTTTTGTGGTATCTTGACATCCTCAAAAAATAGTAGACGAAAGTGTAGACAAATAGATAATTGAGGGGGAAACGACAACTCTGTTGCAAGGTGAGAAGAATTTATATGTGATAATCGAAGAGCTAGGTTTGCGACTTGTTGGAAAGCTGTGTGGCACCTTTTGCTTCAAACTGAAGCTAATATGATTTGAGATGGAAACTTAAAATCTGATTCGGGCTACAAAGAAGCGAAATGATGCGTTTATTTTCTTATTACCTAATGTACCCCCCCAATTGAAAAAGTCGCCTGGCGCGTGTGTGGCTCTCCTTTTTATGCGTTAGCAAATGGTGGATACCGTACCTTCCTCTACAAACTCGCGGTTTCAACTAGGGTTGGCGAGTATAAAGCAATTCAACCTCAAGTATTTCCATACCACTAATACCAATTTGGTAAACCTAACGTCGCGAGAAACATTCAACTCCTCTTATGCATACTTCAATCAAAACGGGCCCCAGCGCCGCACCTGAATATACCAGGGCGGTGCCGAAAGATTTGAGACCTGCGTTTTATGACACCTCGTATCAGGCCTCATGTGCAAGATTCATGTAGTGCATGAGTCGCTGGCGCAAAAGTAAAGTATGCTAACGTCTACACTCTCTGCGTACATAAAGGTTTGAAAATATCGATAATATTTACCTAGATGGTGCCTCCATCACTTAGGCACTCTTAATGACAAGTATTTTAAAATTTTCAATTTTGAATATAATCCATGAATACTGGATTTACAAGTACATATAGATATGTATAAGCTATATTAGTGTTCGAAGAGTATACATTATATATTTATAAAATATTCATATAATTTATATATATATATATAACTCGATGATATTTATTATATGGATATCCATTGACTAAAAAACAGACTGTAATATACAATAGTTTGATTAAACTATGAATTCCGGAAAATAGTTTAACATTAATATCTATCATTAATGTTTCTGAGTGCCACTTGCCAAGTTAAGCTGATATGGCGCAGTGGTAGCGCAGCAGATTGCAAATCTGTTGGTCCTTAGTTCAATCCTGAGTATTAGCTTATCTTGCCTTTTTGCACTTTTAAATAAATTCAAACGAGCAAGTGGTCTATCTACTTCATTCCAGAAGGGACTCACGGCGTCTGCTGCCGGTGTTGGAGTGTTAGCTTACGAGGCATGCGGTAAAGGTGTACTCTAATCCTTGATATATATGGAGCCACTTCCCTAGTATGCCTACCTGGCTAGCTTTTTTGTTCTATCGCATATATAACCCCCCTCGTTCTTTCACAATTGGCTTGACAAAATCTTACTTAGCGAAATACTTGTCACCTCTCCTCAGTTATATATCCCGGGCTTTCCACGGGTACTCTGCTCTAGGATAGCACATTATATTTCAGCAGTGCGTGAAGCTCCCGCTCGCGTCTTCACCTAGATTCCTTCATTATATATTCCGGACAAGGGTTAAAATAGTCATCGAAAAAGATCAGCAATACACCAGTACCAGCTTATAACTAAAAGCCGAAGAGATGGAAAAATGCCCCGGAGCTTAACGCCATATTGTCCATTCTTTGCAATGAAACTACGGATCACATGCATAATAGTTGTAAGGAAATATTTTAGACAAGTTCCCTTTAACTGTGTCAGGTTTCCTCACCCCGTTTACTCGTATGACACGCTCAAGTATCTCATGGAGAAAGATACAGAAAGGTCATATAAACCCGGTGAGTGTCTCGAAAGCTATGAGGCAAAAGTCCTGCAAATAGGGAAACGGCGAAGAGGGTGGCCGATTGGCCGCAATTACACCGCCCAGCACGGTCGCGAAAATATCCCGGGCCGGAGCCTTGCTCAGCATGTGTCATTATTACTAGCCCCGGGAATAACCTGAGCCCAAAAGACTGGAAGTGCTTCAAAATGGAGTGAGTATATTTTTGGAAGACATTCAAAGAGGCATCCTGGGCAAAAATGCTCAACTTCTACACCATGCCATATTAAACTTTCACTCCCCAATTAGTAATATTCCTAGATGGGTATACGTATTTATGTAAGAATTTAGGGGGTTAGAATGTGTGGTGATTACTTGCATACTGATCAAGGCTAAAAAAAAAAAATTGCTCAAAAACAAAATTATTTTGCTATGTCTATACTAGCACAAAGAGGAAACTAGACTCACACCAATGGCCGTGGGGTGAGAAATCTACCCGTAATCCCGCCGTAGTGTATGTGCGAGCAAATTTGACACGGGGTGTAAACACTTCTCTCCGTATATCCGTTGACTACGTCTCTATCCTTGGCAGGTCCTCCGAATCCTCCATAAATTTCTATACGTAAGCTTGCGCTTCCGTTACCGGGCTGAATGGTAAACACTGCCTCTTGCATATCGGAGCTTACTCCAGTTCGTCCGAAAAAGCATATATGAGTCAAAGAGAAACGCCAGGGGATCGCCACGTGCTCGGGAGCTCTAACCTTAAAAGCTCGGATTACAAATCACGTTACACATGCATCTCGGGCCCGATGTATGAATCACGCTCCGTTTGTCCGAACCTCGTGCATTATTAGCAGTTTTCCACCCATTTTTTTGCATAATCAGGTCCCGTTCGGTACAAGTTTTCATGTACCGATACACTCCCTAGCGACGGATACGTAATGTATTGTATAAGTGCGCGGAAATAGTAATTGTGGAGTCCGGGGATTACATGAAACGAGTCGTCATGTAGGTTTATCGCATGTTTTTACATTTCATCATATAAATATCACCTTCTACCCTTTCTAAACGTCGATTCAAGCTTCCTTCCTATCACCCTAATCTAACCTCGATTACCCCATAACTCTCCACAATGTCCTCTATCTTAAAATTGAACGCTATCAAGACCTCTGCCAGATGTTTCATCAAGAACACCTCGGCTGTCAACAGGGGCTTCTCGTCTACCCACGCTGTCCACTACACTCCAACAGCTTCTGAGAATGAAAACTCGACCGTTATCTTTAGAAACAACCACGCTCAAAACTTGCACCATGAGCCAATCAGCGAGAGCCACTGTGCCCACACGCTTGCGCAAAAAGCCCAGTCTTCTAACTGGTTTCCTTCTGTTTCGTCCAATTCTGAGGAAATCCACTTCCACGGCTCCGTCCACAGGGATTAAATACCCGCATTTATTCCAATGCATTTTATGACCTTCAATTCAACTCTTACGACCCCCTCTTCCACTCTTCTGATGCCCTTTGTTGCTACGTTCCCAATCTAGTTCTTGTATGGTTTGATACCTACAACGCATGCTTTATGTTCAGTTTTTTATGATTATGTTAACGAGTGTCTCGAGTTTAGGAGACCAACGATATCTTACGAAATAGAATGTTTCGACTTAATTTTTAGTAAATTGGAACCACAGTAAGCTTCGGCCTTGCAAGGCCGAATTTGCAGCCCGGCATTTAAGAACCCTTAGAAACTTCAATCTTCTTCCATCCTTCCGGATACGGGATAGCGGCTTAAATCTGGTGATTCGTGCTGGAGGTACTAGCTCTTGCAAAATAGTTCAGATACAACGGAAATGATTAAAATAGTTTAATACATTCGATCTAGAAGCTTTAAATGAGCTGAGGCTCGGAATTGGTGAGCAAGAAGAGGGATTTAACGACGTACAGGGATAGAACATACGATATGGTTAGAGTAGAAAGTTAAATTGATTTCCACGAGGTTCAAACTCCCCGGCCTTGCTTTGTCTTTTTTGAAACGACAATGTGGGATATTCGACCTCTGCATACCTCTTCAAGTTTTGGGGAAAACCTAGATATTTTTTTCATCGCGTCGTGGAGAGCAACCTCACCCCGGAGGTCCAACCTAGAACCTCCTCCCGGTTAATTTGGCGCTTTTGCCATGATTATGGACCTAGATTTCTCACGAGTGGGACTGGAAATGACCCCCACCCTGCAGTAAATTCCCAGCAATCAACAAAATCAGCCTATAGCCTGACTAGTTTCGAATCGTGCCATTACTTAGCGTATCCTGCTATTATAAAATTACTCACTCCCATATTGTAGTCATTGATGTTGTCAAGCCCCCGGTACGCGTTCGAATTCGGATTGTACGGGATTTCTCACGTAAAATATTTCCTCAGAAGATAACGGTTCAGTCAAAGTTTAAACCAGTAAACACCAGATTAGACTCCACGATAACTCTATTTTCACCTGCAAAAGGGTAACGATGTCAGACAGTGGATTTTGTTGGAACGCGTACGTTTCTCCAGATCAAACCAAGCGCTACACAATACCTAATGCTGCCTTGTCAGATACGTCCAGATTCTCGTATGTTAAAAGCTAAGCTGGTTTCCCGTTGGACAAAAAGAAAGGGCTGGAGAAACCCTCACTGCGCGTGGTCTACCGAATCTTCCTTTGTACATTCTGTTTAGCGCTGAAACAATCTGCGTGGCTGGCTGCGCGTTAGAGCTGCACGTCATGTACGAATGCACATGATCGATTAGCAGATGGAAGGAATAATATCTAGTCAGTGGGACCGAGATTGAACTAACCACAAAAGCCTGCGCTCTACATTATTATATATCGACAAACTGATCCAGACGGAGGTTACTAAGCCCAATCCAATAGAGCTCCGTCTTTCTTTCACATACAACGCTTAGGCACTCCGCAGCAACTCAACCACGGCGTTACTATTTTATAAAACCTCCTCATGAATATAGCAAACGATGGATACTACACCACCGATTACCTCCGCAACAACCCTGCGGCAAGGGATGATTTGGCCAAGAAGCAACAATTGAAGTTTCTTCAGCAATACTACGACCAGCAGCGTGAGTTGCACGACCTAAAGCGAGCGATGGCCATGAAGGAACAGGTTCTGTCAATGCCTTCCCCCTCTGAATGCACTTCAACAGATAGCGTTCGTACTCCGGTCAACAAGTTAAAAGAGAAGCCAAAAGAGAAGCCAAAAGAGAAGCCAAAAGAGATGTTAAAAGAGAAATCAAAAGAGAAATCAAAAGAGAAATCAAAAGAAAAATCAAAAGAGAAGTCAAAAGAAAAGTCACCCGCAAAAAACAAGGAGAGGAATCCCGGCCTAGTGTTGAAGAATGATCCTGGAACGATATCCACAAAATCAAGGCAGCTTCTTTCAGCCGGCAGTGACCTGGAAATACAATTGAAGAACCCCGGCAGGCAACTGAAAACCTTCAAACCAGACCGCGAACTATCTGTGGGTTCCAAAACTAGTCCTAATTTGGTGACAGCCAGGAACTCTCCCACGTCCAAGGTCACCTCACCTACTCGCAAGAGACGCTTCTTTTCGGCCCACAGTTCTGAAGACAGCTTCCAGGCGTTCGAAGTCCCTGACTCCCCATACGACAGAGGCACAGAAGACAACCCCGATTACTTGGAATTGGAAATGCTCCCCATTGAGTTAAAGTATCTTGGTGGACAAAAGTTACCCCATAGTGAGGCTTCTACCCCCGGCCTAGGCCCTGCTCACGGATATATACCCCTGAATGATGCTGTCTTGAACATGGTGTTTGAAGAAATTCCTTCCCACAGGAAGAAAGAAAAGAAGAAGGAACAGGAGACAGAGGGGAAATCTAAGCGTGGGGCTTTCAAAATGAAATTGTTTGGAAAGCGCAAGGGGGACAAAGAAAAGCCACAAACGGTTATGAAAATCACCAACATGGAAGAGTTACCGGAAATCGAGGAGAAACATGGAATTGATGCTGTGTTTGAAGACGGAAGTGATAGCGAGGAGGACTTTGGAAGGTCCTTGCTCCTGGTGAGACCGAGGGAAATTCACCAGGAAGTGGCACAGTACGGAGCCAAACCTAGGAGGGTGGAACTCTCTAAACAAACCCAAAAGCGAATCAAGCAGTCCCCTACAGCGTATGGCCCTAACCGAAACTTCAATCCAATCTGGGAGTATATCCTTTCATGGATTGTGTACGATTACAAACCCCCAGGTGCAAGAAACCCCATGTTTGAAAGCGTCATTGGGGAGGAATTGGTCAGGTCAGGTGTAGCAAGGAAAACCTCTGAATATTCCGGGCTACAGACTTTGGTATCGAGAAGCAAAAAGAAATGGGAATGGCTCAACCAACCTACTGCTTCTCCTTTCCATCAGACTTATATGCGCCCCCCCTCTGGAAGATCCAACCACAGCAGATCTTCTAGTGCCGTTTTTGCGGACGAAGAGCAGTTTTCTAGACTGCGAGTGAGCAGCTATTCTGGCTCTATGCTGACTTCGAACAGCTCTGATGCCCTTCACGCGCTTGTGATGCTTATACACAAGCTTTCTCCACCAGGGCTCCGTAAAGCGGTTTTCGACCCCTTGCAGGAGTTTTCCAGCACCCATGAGTGGGGCAGGTATGTGGACATAGCCCAGCTTATTGCTTTCGTTTGGTTGGGATACGAGCTCTACGTCGTGATCCAAAGCTTTTTGACCTGTGTATTGTCTCCTTTCAAGGGGCATTGAAGAGATACGGTGCTTTGAACTTGAATTTAGTGTTATTTATTATTTATACAGCTTTCCTTACGTATATTAATAACTTATATTTGTGTATTCAAACGGTAGTCTTGTAGTTGCACTGCTGATAAGTATGCACAAATACATGTGTTTCTTGGACTGAGTTTCAAAAAGCGACATAATCTGGTATACACGAATTGTTTAAGCCTGGTTACGACCCTAGCCCTCTAAATAATTTGTAACGGTAAAGTTGTTTTTTTCCAACAGGGCTAGTGATTGTGGTTAAAGTCAAACTCGCTGTATACGGCCTTGAAACGGTCACACTCTTCGGCTTCTTGACCCATGGATTGCTTGCAATTCATCCATTGGGTACGCTTCGGACACCTCAACACGTTGGCCAAGACTCTACGCGGAAACAGGAAGTCGATTCTCAGACCATCGGCAGGTAACTGAAACAAGTAGTTGACTTGTTTCTGGGCCGACCACGCCAACTTGATAAGCACGTAGTCGTTGTTGTTAATAATTTCGGTCATGGCTTCCATTTCCGCTTCGTCAGTGGAATCATGCTTAGTGAAGTTCATCAGGGCCATGGAGTGGTTAGAATTGGTGGAGGTAATTTTACTGTTGTGGAAGTCGCATTGCTTGACCAAATTTTTCTCAAACTCCACGTCCAACAACTCTGTTTTGAGAGGGATGGCCTGATTGTGGTAATGGACACCAGAACCTCTGCTAATTTCGTAAAAAACTACCGTCATCCCAAACTGAGCAAACATCTTGATGAGGCTTAACTGGTAGCGGAGGATCTCGTTCATTAACGGGGTCTCCATGACGTTCTTGGTTTCAGTGGGTTTGAAAAGCTGGCGTGGGTTGGCCACATGGGCAATAGGGATGATGAGAGCATGGCCGGAGAAGTTAAAGCCGGGATAATCGGTATTGTTCGAAGGTCTGGTCAATGGACCCTTAGCAATGGTCAAGTAAGCATGGGTGCCGATGGACACAATCATGTGCGTTTCAAGCTTGGGATTCGAGAGACAGAAAAAACAGTCTTGCTGGGTCACCACCTTTGGCCTCTTAATTTCTTTGGAAGTTTCAGCACCCACCGCTTCATACTCTCTTTTCAACGTGACGACGGGTTGTGGCTTCGTGAACGGATTCTCTGTGAGGTTCAGCGGGTTTTCGGAGACTGATGGGAGGACAGACATGTTGAAGGCATAGAACCACTTATCCTTAGAGGCGCTGCCCTCTTGGCCTAAACTAATAAATCTGGTGATTCTACTCTCGTTATCATCCCATTTGAACGGACTTCTCTCAAAAAATTTACCACTGGAGGACCCCACAGAAAAGTGATACCTCGGCTTTGCGAGCTTTACGATATCAGACAATAACGTATTAGACTCAATCAACGTCAACTTTAACTCATCCGCCATCTGCTGGGGCCACTGGTAGGTGAGCAAGATGTCAACCTGCTTCCCCTGAAATCTGTCCAAAACTTTGTTCATCACCGCTCTGTCACTATGAGCAGCCGATAAGAGCTTCCCAGAGACGAAACCAACAGTCACGCCGGACGAGAGTTTGTAAGTGCCAACATCTCCCAAGTAAGTCAAGTTTGGCTGAACGTCGGCCAACCGCTCGGTAGAGGCAATCCCAGGATTCATGCCTTCCAAACCCTGAGTGAAATAGACCGAGGGGACAAGTTGTACATCCTTGTTGAGTTGTCCCAAGGAGGGAGTATCGCAAGACAAAGCGTCCCCTAATAGGAAAACCGCGTCAAAGGGACCGTTTTTAGCGTGCAAGCCGTTGGCTTTGGTCAATAGCTTAGAGACATTCGCCGGAGACGGATTTAACACGAGGCTACAGGTGGGTTAGTCACGGATACAGCAAAATAATAGAGCCTGTACGTACAACTTTAACTTGTCAGACATGGCTTCGGGTCAATAATAGAGGTAGATATTCCAAACTCCGATTTAAAGTTTTATGCAATCTTTTTTTCAGGCTATTTTTCATGTTATATGCACGATGCATGTACATAAGCAAGGGACAAGTCCCGAAAAAGAGCATGTTTTACTGGCATACAGACAAATAGAATACAGAGCGAGGTGGAGCTCAATCCAAACCATGGAGATCAATAAAGGCTTTTAAACGTTCCAAATCAATGTTGCTGTTTTCGTCGTTGGTCAAGTTCCGGTCCACATACCTGCCGGCAGGAATCTGGTCTTTCAATACCACCAAGCACGGAATATCGCTAACCACATACCTCTGCATGAGCTCTCTGGTGCCAACTTCGTCGCATTCAATATCAACAACATTGATTTTCTTGGTAGTTTGCTCCGAGACGTAGTCATACAATGGCTGGGTCAACTTATTGCACTTTTTGTTCCCACGGATGGTGAAGTTGAGAACCAACGGTTCTTTGAAGAGGAGATAGTTGCTTAATTCACTTGATTCACGTACCGCAGTATAGATCCTATTTCCTGTACTACTGGTGGTCGGAGGGTGGATGATTGGAGCCCGGTATCTGGTTAGCCATGGGAACGAGAAGAACGCGGCTCTCATCGTAGGCGCTCGGGCTTTAAGGCTATTCCGGTACAAGAAAAAGGCCACCTGTGGGGTCTTGGCAGCAAACATAAGTAAGGCTGGCAGTGACTCTTTGCTTCAGCCGGAAAGGGGGGAATAGAGCGTTTATGAATATTAAATAAGCAGTAAAGCTGCCTGAAAGATGGGGCGCTAAAAAGGTTGCAGCGTACCTGACACGTCGTGGTGATACCAATCACGTGATTAAAACTGCTGCTTAGGTGTTATGAGCTCTGTCGCCGCCTTGGAACATCCAAATGTAAACAAGACGTAGTCCAAACCCGATCCAGTGTAATAAAATTTTGGGCATAACTACACTTTGATAGCAGCACCACGAGCGGTATTTTCTACACGTAAAGTACAATCTAGCAATGGTATGTATCCCTCTTTGGGAGTAGACACGGGAAGGCAAATGTTTTGCTTTGTTTTCGAGATACTAACAACCGCAGTCTTCGAACAAAACCTACAAAGATGCCTTCGCTCTTTTCGACAAGAAGGGCACCGGGAAGGTTTCCTCCCATGACTTGGGCGATTTATTGAGGGCCGTGGGCCAGAACCCTACCTTGGCTGAGATCCAAAGCTTGATTGCTGACTTGCCAGACCACAACGAGTTGGACTTTGACACGTATGTCAAAGTCATCAACAGACCAGACGGGTTCAAGCCGTTGGGGACCACCGAGGACTACATCAGAGGATTCCAGGTTTTCGACAAAAATTTGACTGGGTTCATCGGTTTGGGTGAGTTAAAGTACATCTTGACGTCTATCGGTGAAAAGTTGACCGAGGAAGAAGTCAACGAGTTGTTAAAGGGTGTCAACGTCACTGAAGACGGTAACGTTGACTATGTTGAGTTTGTCAAGGCGATTTTGTCTCAGTAGGCTCTAAGGATCCAATACCCGAGGAAACTGAACCTTTCCCAGTGACTTCATGTATCATCATTTTTATCGCAGTTAATTATTTTTTATACCTATTTAGGACAGTTTGAATTTTGAAAGTTGTGCATGTTGTAAATTTTAGTATACACGAATTATGGAATATATAAGAGGCTGGAAGTTTTCGCTCCAACTCTCTTTGAAGGGGAATGGAGTGGAGCCTAGCTACACAGATATAAGCTGGGCCAAATCTGTCACACTCTATCCATGGCAGTTGGGATATCTGCAAGAGAGTTACCTCACATTCTGACACTACGCCGGGACCAAGAAAACTGAAGCCATTTTTCCTATCTTTCACACCCCTGAGGCTATAGGGGACCCGGGCTTTACCATCTCGAACACAAGACCTTGGAAAAACCTATATACCGCCGACTCCATCAAGCCTCAGTGTACATTTCGCCTGTCTACTTTGATCTAGAATACCGCAGCCCTGCTTTACCTCTGACTAAAAGTATGAATGCATTAAAAGGGAAAAATATGTAAAAGGTCTAGAAAAAGAAGCCCTTATAGGCTAGTTTACACATCACAAGCCATCTTGGCCATGACGTCAAAGGAACCAGTACCGACGTTGGACAACTTACCCATGACGATTCTAGCGGAAGGCGAGAACAAATCTTCTCTCTCGTTGTCCAAAACAGCCTTGGTCAAGAACTGGCAGGTGGTTTCGTACGACATCTTCATGAAGGCAGAGGTAGAGGAGTCAATACCCTGTCTGTTGAAGGCTAAGTAGGAACCCTCTCTGGTCATCATGTCACCAATCAAGTCTAAATGTCTGCTGGACACGGTAATGGCGTATCTGCCGAAAACATTATTGATTTCGTAGACAATGGTGTTTCTAGCGGCCTCAACACCGTAGGTTCTCAAAACGGCAGCAATGTCGTTAGATCTGATCCCGTTGACATCAATAAAGTCGTCCTGCTCCCACATGGCACGGAAGTTGACACCCTCGGTGACAAGCACTCTCTTGCCTTGTTCAGGTTCTGGGAACACACATCTACCGATATGGGCAATCTCTCTAACAACAACCTTACGACACAAGTCCTCGACAATGTTAACCATCAAGATCTTGTCAGTTTCGGCTGGCAACTCCAACTTGAACTCACACCATTCACCATTTTCGTCATCAAAGTTGAACTTGGTGATCAAAGAGTGGGCAGTCAAGACTTCCTGCTGACGTTCCTTGGCAAATTGAGACAAAGCTTGCTTGACAGTAACAGCCTCCATCTCAGAATCAGAATCAGAATCAGAATCAGAATCAGAATCAGAATCAGAATCAGAAGAGTCAGATCCAGAATCCTCTTCCTCAGACTTTTCAGCCTTTCTCATGGTCTCGATCTCATCGTCATCCGGTCCGTCGTAAGAGACTGCCTGCTTGGTGTTGGACTTCAACTTGTCATCATCAGCATCGTCCTCCTCTTCAACTACGGTCGAACCGAGGGCAGCCTCAGTCTGGGATCTAGGAACAGCCTTACCAACAGACTCGGTGTATGGCTTCTTCTGCTTCTTAACCTGCTTGATGATGGCAGACTCCAACATTCTCAAGAAAGAAGATATAATGGAGTGCTCTAACTGGTCCTGGGAAATATCGTACTCGGACTCATACTCGGCCTTGGCGTAGAACTTCAAGTTAATGACGTAAGATCTAGTGGCCACGCCACCGGAGGAAGCACCGGCAGTTTCGGTAACGGCAACGTGGTCGATGAACTCGGACATGACAACCTTCCCAACGTTCTTACAGAAGACCTTGGCCTGCTCGTCGGTAACGGACGCGAGAATAGGCATCGTCATCTGTGGGGTCTTGATCGCGGAGGAGGCGGTCATAATGATTTCTCTCATACGAGGGATACCCAAGGTAACATTAGCAGCACCGTGACCAGCGAAATGGAAAGTGTTCAAGGTCATCTGGGTAGATGGCTCACCCACAGACTGGGAGGCGATGATACCCACCGACTCACCAGGGTTGATCAACGATCTCATGTACTTCAACTGCATCAAGGCTCTGAACTTCTTCTCGGTCAAGCTCTTGGAGTCCTTGTCCTTCTTGGAAGCAAACAAGTTGGCGTTACTGTCGATGAAGGAGTCCAATTCGGTCTGGAACTTTTCGGAAACGGAACCCAAGTACTTGGAAGGATTGTACATCGACAAGGAAGGATCGTACTTTTCAGTCTGGAGGTAATGTGGGAGGTCCTTGTTCTTCTTCAAGTGCTTTCTGACCTTCTTGGTGTAAGCCAAGGCGGTTTCAGTGTCCAAGTGTTGGATGAGCTCACCTGGGTTGTACTTGTTTAACAAGGAGTCGTAGTTGTCGGCGCAGAACTTGAACTGGTACATATGTGATTCCTTGGTGACATCCACGGCGTCACCACCGTAGATGAACTGGATCAAGGTACCATCACCATCTCTGACGGTGTTGTCGTACGTGACATGGACACCCTCCAATTGCTTGGTCAAACAACGCTGTAAATAACCGGATCTGGAGGTTTTGACGGCGGTATCAATTAAACCTTCACGACCGGCCATGCAATGGAAGTAGTACTCCTGAGGCCTGATACCGGAATAGAAACGGCCCTTGATATAGCCACCGGCTCTGGCATCGGTCTCGAACGGCTTGAAGGATGGCAAGGTCTTACCGGAAACCATGACTGGCACTCTTCTACCTTCCAAGGCCTGTTGACCCAAAAGACACATAATCTGGGAAACGTTGACGTTGGAACCCTTAGCACCGGAAAGTGCCATCGACTGCATCGCGTTGTACGGGAAACGCTTCATGGTACCACCTGGTACACACTTGGCAACCACAGCAGAGGTGATGGTGTTTACCTTGGACTGGGTGATGGCATCCAAAATCCCCAACTTGCTGTCGTCTCTCAAGATCTCTTCCAAACGCTTCAACAACTCCTTGTCGTCACTCTTGGTGTCGGACTCCAAGTTGGTCACTTCGGCAGCGGCAGATCTCCCAATATCGATGGACGCCTTCAAGATGTCCTTTCTCCAGGCATTACCCTCGTTGGTGAGTCTCAAATCGTCCATACCACAGGTAAGAGCCTTGGTCATGGTGTAGTTGGTAAACAATCTCCCGAGAACAGACATGGCCTTACCAGCAACGGTCGGTCCGTAGACTTCATGGAGCGAGTGCACAAGACCGTACTGGGAAGCACCGTACTGCGACTTGTCGAGAATACCGCACAATAACTCACCGTTCTGGAAGATAACCTCGTTTTCAGTGGAGCCCTCACCCCAGTACTCGCTCTTGATCTTGTTCTTGGAGAGCAAGTTGAGACCTGGCATACCCTCAGGCTTGATGTTGAGTAACATGGTAGTGATAACCTGCTTACCGGTCCAAAGAGCCTGTGGCTTGATCACAGCTGGAGCGATAGTGATGATCTTCGAGCTCGTGGTGTGCCCATCCTCCGGACGCAAACAGCCGTAGATTAACTGCTGGTACTCCTGTCTGGTGAAGAAGGAGTCCTTGGAGGTCAACCAGACACCCGCCGAAATGTGATCCTGAATCAAACCTCTAAGCGGAGCACCAGAAGTTGGGGTGAGGTACTGCGAGTCGGTGTTAGCCAAGTGGAGGGCCTCGGCCTTGGCGTTTTCGTTCTGCGGGAAATGCATGTTCATCTCATCACCGTCGAAATCAGCGTTGTAGGCACCGGTATTGGCGTAGTGGAGTCTCAAGGTCTTCTCACCTGGAAGGACCCTGACCTTGTGTCCCATCATGGAGGCCTTGTGCAAGGTTGGCTGACGGTTCATGAGCACCACGTCGTTGTTCTTGATGTGACGGTAGACCTTCTTGTTAACCACGGTGAACCCATTTGAAGGTGTTAACAACTGGTTGGCAAGGGCCTTTCTCAGGTCCAAGTCCATCCCGATAAGCGACACTAGAGTGCCGTCTTCGTTCTGCACCTGTATAGCACCCGGCCACTTGTCTGGGCCGTTAATCACCGCCTGCCTCAACTCGGAGGCGTTGTGGGCGGTGACCGGCTCTGGGTAGGTCAATTTGACGGCAAAGACCGGAGGCACACCAATCTCGTTGGTTTCCAACATCGGATCCGGAGAAATGACCGAACGGGCGGCGTAGTTAACACGCTTACCCATCATGTGCTTTCTGAACAACCCTTCTTTTTTCTCCAATGCCTGCTTGATACCCGGTGGTGGCACTTTCCCGGCTGGGGCGTTTTGGTTCTTGGTGGAATCGATGAAGGCGTTGACGTCGTTCTGGATGGTCACGAACGAGTTCATCAAACGGTTGAAGAGGATCTTGCGCTCTTCGGTGGTGATCTGGTCCTTCTGGAGGGTAGAGATCTGCTCGTTTAAGTCTCTGATCAACAATGCGGTGGTTAAAACCTTGGACAAAAGCTCGTTCTGCGAGTTCTCGTGGACCTCGTCACCCAACTTGGATGGCAATCTGAATCTGGTCGGTGGCACAACCAAGGCATGGATGAAGAAGATGTCTGCATCAACTTGGGTGATCTCGGATGGTCTAGAGTGGAAAAGGTAGTGCATCATGGCCTTTTCGGTTCTAAACACGGAGCGGAGAATGTTTCTGATCTCGGTGGACAAGACGTACTTGGAACCAGCCTTTGGTTTGACGCTAGGCACGCTGACAGCGTCGGCAGAGGCCTTTTTGATCATATCCTGGCGCAGCAAGCCCCTGACTCTGTTGTTGGTCTCCTGCTTGTCCTTCAAGGCGTTCTCGAAGATCTTTGTGAAACCATCCTTTCTAAAGGTTGGGGAGTACATTCCACAGTTATCACACTTTGGACGCGAGAGCAACTTCTTGTAGAATTCCGAAATCAACTGCTTGCGTTCCTCACCAACGGTGGCGGTGACGGTGCCGTGTTCGGTGGTTCTGCCCTCGCTCAAAGCCCTGGCGATGCAGGAGTCCACGTAGAATTCACGGCGCTCTCTCAAGTCTCTCTCGGCGTCTGGGGAGGTGATCTTGTAGGTGGCCTCCTCGCCCTCTTCGGCTTCGTCTGAGCCGTCGGACCCGGCCAAGTGCATGTTATCGACGTCAAGACACTCCAACAACAAACCGTATTGGATCAACTTCAACTTGCACTGGTAGCGGTGAACTTCCAAGGCCTTGAAGCGGAAGTGGTGACAGTAGAGACAGGATGAGCGGAGGAAGAGATACAACTGGTTGAAGAACAATGGATTGTAGACCGGAACCGGTAACTCAATGTGACCCTGGTGCCCCGGACAAAACTTGTCATCCAATCCACAGGTGGCACAGAGGTTTCTCAAGAACGACCCAAGGGACAAGTCGTATAAACCCCCGGTGATCGGGTGGCCCAAATTGTCAAAGACAGTCGGGTTGGTGATTTGCTTGGCCGAGAGCTTTCTGATCTCGGCGGCGGTCAAAAACCCAAAATCAACGGAAGTGATTTCAGAACCAACGGGTTTAGCGATATCCATGGTGGTGGTTTTGATGGGACTAGAAAGAAGGAAGGGGAGCAAATGGCGGTTCGTTAGTATTTCATGTAGTTGAAAAATTTCCTGCAATGTGTAGGAGAAAAAGGAGATGAAAAAAAATTTGCTGCGGGTAACAGTTTTTTTTTGGCGATGAGCCGGCCGCTGCCCAATGCGGAATAATTTCCGCTTTTGGCGTACCAGGCTTGAAGAGGGCGAGGCAACAATATATCAATAGATAATGTAAGAGAAAATTATAGTTTGGAATGTTATAAATATAAGAGATTTTTGCAATTAAGAGACGGCTTGGTCGGCAGTCGAACCATCGTGAATTTAATCTGCATCAAGCAGGTGGTAGGGAGGTCCTAATTCGTTATTGAATAATTCCAATGCGGGTGCATTTAAGTTTAAACCTAGCCGCCAAGCGAAGAGGAATGAAAGAAATGAGGATAAAACAATT